GTGTTTGATCATTGTTTTCAGAAAATAAAATAGCATGACCTTGCATTAACTTCGGGGTTGAGCTGTCCAACTATCTAATGCTCCTCTGGACTCCGTGGAAAAGTGGCAGTCGTCTGGCAAGAGGGGAGCAGCTCATGGAGCAGAGTGAGTTGGCAACCCTCTAGTGGGGCTGAGGAAAATGAAGGGGACCAGCAGCTCAGCAAGCAGATGTAAAAGTTAACTGGAAACCACATCAAGGAGAATCTGACGGGGAAAAAGAAGTCGAAACAACAACTACAAAACCCAACAGAATCTGACAACAAGGTGGAAGAGAGCCATCTTTCCTGAAAGAGAGTTGCTGTAGTTACTGGGACAACAGCTGTTCTGGTGGGTGGAGAGGATAAAGAGTCAGTCAAATGTATGAGGCAGGGAAAGATGGTGTCTGAAAAAGCTGGGGAGGTCAGACCACAAAACCATCTAGCTCAGGATCAAGCTCCAGCAGTAGGAGTACGTACTGTAGGAGTGATTCATCCTACTTAGTCTCTCAGCCTTTGCCAAATTATCATTTAGGGGTTTCTTGACTCAGAGGTGAAAAGAGCTCTCCAGTTTTCTCCCATAAATCTGCCCCTTCTTTATAAACACAAATTGCTAAACAGGTCAAGTGATACTCTCTGTAACTGTAGAAGCTGACAAAGAAAGAGGGAGAGACTCCAAACAGAGAAAGAGTGGCCAAGTGTTAAACTATACAAAAATGCCTGTGGAGTTGGAGGCACCAGAAGTGAAAAAAACTAAAAGAGGAGAAAGATTGTGATATTGTTCTATTAAGGAAGACTAGACAAAGAAAAAATGGGGAAGGACAGAGGAGTGTATCTTTGCTGAACAGCAGAGTTGGGCACCGTTGTCTGATGTGCTGTAGCAGGCAGAAGTGCAGGACACCAGCTCCAGGCCAAAGGTGTTGGACATCAGCTCTTGGCCCTGTGTCTTGTAAGGGAATTCATGCAAGACTAAGGCCAGGGTTGAAGTCATACATGGTTGTGGACTGCAGTTTGGCTAGGAAAAAAAAAAAGCCAAGGGACTTGAGATAGAAAATAGTGGTACAATCAAACATGAAAATGGTAATAGCCAAGGAATAGGTCCCTCCAGCTCAGTTTCTTCTATCCACACTTCACCAACAGTGTGGATAGAAGAAACTGAGCTGGAGGGAAGTGCAAAACAGCCCTGGCAAAGATGCAGCCAGGGGAGCACAAGGCTGAGGTGAAAGCTGGGTCAAAAAGAGATTCCTATTACTGGCTTGCAAAATCAAAGAGACAGATGTCTGAAAACACTACAAAGCTGAATGAAGGGATGCACTAATGAAAGGGAAAGGGAGGAGGGCAGGAAGCCTTCAGGGCAGAAGGATGTCCAAAGGGACCTTGGCATCTGCGTGTTGCTTCTCAACTGGCACTTCCGTCCTGAGCCTTTTCAGGAGGCTGCATTCACCAACACCTTTGCTTCACTGCTTGGTTGGCTCTAGCTGCTATTGTTGCTCTGAAGCAGCACGGAATTATGCAAGAAGATTTTGTTGGACTAATTCGTCTGTACTAATTACAGTGGTGTGTTGGTAATTATTGATGATTCATAAACTGCATGGGCTGCAGCCATACTGGGGTAAAGACTTTTGTACTGGTGACTTAGAAAGGTGAAAATTCAATGAAGTAGTAATGCATTTTGCTTAATGACACTGCTATGATAGTAAGCTATTTGGTGATCACTGGTTTGCACAAAAGCATAAGAGCTAAGAAAGTGCTATTGACTTTGTCTAATTATTTGTTTCATAGCTGATTCCTGGGGAGAATGCTAAGGAGATTACAATGATACTGAAAATAATATTGGGCAGTTAAAAATGTTAAACTTCTTTTTTCACTGGTTTTATGCTTTTATTTTTTCTCGGTGGTTATTTCTTTGCTTTCAATACAGTGTCTGTTCCTCTGTTCACTGAAATTAGGGGTTTCTCACTGGCCTCTTTGGAATCAGGCTTGTCTCTGCATGTTTTACCAGAAAAGTCTGTTATGAGCTACTACACTAATTGATTTAGGTTGCTGATCTATTAGCAGTCCTTCCTGGCAGTCAGTCAAATAATGAGAGCTTTATTTAAATTGGAAATCATCAGTAATGTGCTATTCACTTAAGTGAGGAAATGAACAGAGGTATGGTCATGGTATCAGTAATACGCAATGTCCACATGGTCAGATTCTTCTGGGAGTTCAGACGATGTGGAATTAGTTCCTTCAGGCAAGTGAGAGATCTGTAGGGCATTTGTGAAGGCCAGGCACACATGTCTTTGTTTTTGCTGCCTCCTTTAGCTGAGTTTGACAGAGGAAAGTGAGTCAGTCACCTATACCTACAGCAGTTTGGGCATATAAATCCAAGGGTCTGATTCAGGTTGTGAAACAAGACTCAGAACTTAAAGACCAGAAAGGAGGACGTCAGACATATTTTTTGCTATATCTAATGGGAAGGTTTATTTATCCTTCCCATATTCAGGTTCGTTACCAACCTTAATTTGTCCCATCTGTTTCTGTGCATTGTATAAGTAATGAAGTTGAGCATCTTAGGAACTCAAAGACAATACATAGCAATCTTTCAGGTAGAACAGCACCTATTCTGCATCCCTCCATGGTTCTGACCCCATCAAGTCTGCACTGAGCAGTACAGGGACATCTTCACCTACATCAGGAGTCTCTGATTTTCTAATTTCACCTAACTTTCCTGCTATTAGGAAAGGCAGGAGCACCCTGAATCTGGAAGGAAGGGAGGAAGAGAAAGACCCTGATTTTTTTGTCCTTCTATTCAAGTGTTTTCTATTCATTCATGAGGCTGACACAGAAACAGCCGGGAGAAACACTCTGAGTCAGAGTCTGAGTGAGTGGATTATTTTGTTGCTGTTGTTTTAAAATAAACAGGATAAGAAAAGTGGCTACTCTATATAAAGTAATATCTGTAAAGGACTTGATAGATTTGCCTGCATTGATCTGTGTCTTGGACACAGTTATTCCATTTTTGACAATACAGAGTGACTAACTCTGAATATCTTCTGAAGCAGTAGAAAGTGGAAGGCATTCATTTACAATGTGAGTTCCCTGATATTTCCCTGGCATTAGTAAATAGAGAATAAAATAAATATCTGTGTCCTAACACACATGGATGTGTCTGCATTCTTCTTTTGTACCAGTGACTTCTTTTGTTGAAGAATCTCATGCTTTTCATCCACACCTACTGAGACAGTTTGAGCTATGGATTTTCAAAAAACACACTTTTGCTCTGAGACTGACTGAAGTCTGTTGTGTAGTCTTACAGATTTGTCTAATGAGATCACTTTGAGACTTTTTTTTAATCAAAGTGTATGATAATAAAATATTTATTTAAGAGTTTCCTGTTGAGTATCATTGGAGTTTGAATGTGCTGTTTTTCTCTTTTGGTTCGGGGGAATAGGAGATGTGAGCTTTCAGAGAGCTGTTTCTTTAACTTACTCTTAACTCATGGTTGATGATGGGTGCTAACTTCCCTTTCTGTTCAGATATGCTTACTGGAACTAAGCTACATTCAGCTACAGCAGGAGCTCTAGTGGGAAGTGAAGCTTTTCTGTGAGAAAAGGAGAGGTTAACTACACTTATATTGGGGGCAGTTTTTGCTTTGGAAAACAGTGGCAGGCTTTGTAGTTTAATCTTTTGGAGCCCTGCCCGTTACCACCTTCTGACGTAGGTTGCTGGGCTGAGAAGAATCAATGCGCACTGGTGCATGAAAGTCCAACGTGTCAGTTGTAGCTATACATAGTGCCATTGTCTCACGTGCAGGCCAGGCTGTTAATGCTTAACACTGCATTGTATTCTCTAAAAGAAAAGAGTAGAATACTGGGAACTTCATCTGTTTTAAATGTTTATACACATTCCTTTGAAAAATACATTTTTAAAGGATTAAGTATTGTCTGTATAAAAGGCTCAGACTAATGAACACCACAGAGAAAAATGCCACAGAAGTAAGGCTCCAGCATTCCTATGTGCCTTGGGAATCTGCCTACAATTAGGGTTTTGGTCAGATTACATGTCTTGCAGGGTGATTGCTTTAACTCATCTACACCTGGGGCACCTGGGGTAACTGGTGACCATGAAAGCAAGGAGTGTGCCCTTTTGGAGATTGATAACTTGCGGCTAATTCTCCATATGCAAAAACATTGTAAAGGTTTAAAGACTCTTCTCATTAAGTAGGTGCACCTGTGTGAGGGCATATGTATTGTTCTGTTGCTTAACAACCTTTTGTAGCTAATGGTTTGAAGTGAAACAAATCAGTAGTGTACAGGAGAAGTGTACCGAAATGTATCAAGACACAAAAAGTATTAACGTAGTCCAGCTCCTAAGAAGTGTAACAAACAAAGCAGCCACAGCCCACATGTACTGGCTTTCTTGCAGCAGGTTTAAATTATGGTGTGCTATCATATCTTCTGAAAATGTCATGGCTCACATGGTAGTGATATTTTTACCTGAAAACTGAAGGCTATGGTTCAGGCAAACAACTCTCAATCTGCAACCCAAACAAATTCCCTTTTCTCAAAAGTCACTTCTTTCCCTATCAATCCCACTAAAACATTATTATTTAGAATATTTCACAAGACCTTTAAAAAACGTTCTGTATTACATTCTAATGAATAACTTTTGGCCAGAGATAAATAGCTTTCTAGTCTCCAGCAAAAAAAAAGTCCTTCTATATAACCTAGGTACTCTGTTGGGGAAACAGGGAAAAGAAAGTGTTTCTTGCTTCCTTATTTAAAACCCTAGCATTTTTAACTTACAGGCAAGTAATACAAAAATAGGAATTTGGTAAAGATTATCATGTGAGATGCACTTCCAAGTAATGAAATTACTGCTGTTCATATGCGAGGGTGCTTTTTAGCATCTTTCATGGTTCTGTTTGACCTTTAATTCTTCTATGTAAAATGCTACCTTCTTAAGAATGACAATGAAAAAAAATCTGTATTTCTTTATCAGGCTTCAACTGCAGAAGTACAAGTTGGGCCCATGAGACTGACACAATACCCAATTCAGGTAAGATGCTCCTTCAGTTTCTGACAGAGCCAATTCAGTGTTGATAGATGAAGAAGTTAAGGTTCAAACTCTTTAGTTAACTATAATATTTTAATTTCACTTGTACAAGGACGATAAGAGGGATGATGTGTGTTTTGTGTATCTGATTGCTTGAGAAGACCTACAAGTAAATTAACTCAGTAAATAAGACCCTTAGATTTCCACTAACATCCCCTCATTCCTTGTTTCTGTCCTACCAGTAGGAGTGTGAGTGTATGTGCATCAACCAGGGAAAGAGCTGCCTCTATGGATATTACAACCTGTTCAGTTTTGCTATACCACAGCAGAGAGCTTCATGAAATTTAGGTATATGTTCAGTTTTGCTGGGTTTTGCACAACAGGACAGAGAACTGTAACAGGACAGAGAACTATGTTTTACAGACCACCAATTCAAGAAATGTCCTCCAAGAAGACAGGTTCAAATTCAGCTAAGGAACAACAGCTTTTATCCATACATCCTTCATTTTCTGTTCATTTTGTTCCTGTGATAGTATCAGATACCAAGTGTTATTTTTTTCAGCTTATAGTGGATGTTGGAACTCTCGGATTATAGGAAATTAAATAGCCTTTTAGTCTTTAACATTCTTTTAGTGATACATAATTCATCTGAATTAATTTATGAGTTGGTTAATTCTGTAAAATGCAGACACATTTAGTCACCAAGCACCCTTTCTGTGAAAAACATTTGTGTGGAAGAAAAGCACCATAAAGCTTTACATTTTTATGGCTTTACATTCAGTCTTGAATGTAAAGCCATATGAATGGCTTTATGAATGTAATCTCCATGATTATTCAATCTGATGAAATTACTTGTTTATATTGTAATAAGACTGAGGAGCAGTGACTTCAACAACAGAACAACCTTCAGTTTTGCAGGGAATTTTAACATAGAAATGTGTAACTTTTCACAGAAAAATATTTTTAGATCATGTTCATCTTCAGAAAGATTATCCAGAAGATATTTAGCAACTACAAATACTCTCAGTGCTTTTGTCAGGATATTACTTCATAGAAATTTGATTTGCCCAAGGCAAAGTTGGATTTTTCTTGTTTTCAAAAATTGACATTCTTCTTGGTATCTTTTTAGATGGGGGTGCTATTTTGTCTTTACATTTCACAACTGAGAATCTGTGTAAGAAAATAATCTGTTTTAGGCAGAAATTATTAAGTAAAATCATTAACTGAAGAATTTTCCTTAAAGATGTTGCCATACATTAACTTACTTTCAGTTAAGTAAAACATTTCATGTAAACCCACCTTGTGTGTTTGTGGAACAAGCCACATTACCTCAGATAATTTGTCAAGTAATGCACAGATCCCCACATTAAAAAAATGAATGCTAATTTTTTATTCCATCTTGACAATACAATTATGTGGTTCTCTGTGCATTGCAAACAGCTACTGAATATCACATTTTAAATGTCTGTTTGTGGATGATTAATCATGTTTACAATTGTCTGAGAAGTTAAGTTCCATTTGTTAAAACAATTGCCACTGAGGCTTTTCTTAGCAAACTTCATTTTATTCTGCTGTGTGTTATGCTGTTATGGGACACCTGTGCAACCTCAAAATGGCACATATTTTTTGTCTGAGAAGTGACCTCACTTGTGCCTGTGACCTGCCATAAAACCATTTAATAGATTCCCCACTGGACTTCATGACCATATATGTCAGAGTAAAAATTGGGTTTCATTTGTACAGAATTGTGACCCAGGTGCTCCTGGCCTTAAGAGGCAAAGGGAAGAGTCCAAAGCAAACCAGCCAGCTCCAACCCTCCAGACATCCCATATACACATTGCACAATTGCCTCAACTTTGTACCAAGGCTTGTAAATAAGAATTATTTGATTTCAGAAATGACCATGCTGAAAGTACACAAAAAATATGCTTTCTCCAGGGGACACTGGAGATGTGGTTTTTATAAACAATTAGTGCACATAAAAAAGGTGTTGGATCCTCTTGCAGAAATGTTTGCTCATAAGCGTTTCAGTGTGTTCCTATTCAAATGCTGCACCCTCTCACCTTTTAGGACATTTGTTTGCCATCATCTCTTTCACAGTGTTGACACTGTGATCTTCCCTCATGAGCTGCAAATGAAGCATGATGATGCACAGCATTTCGCTGTTGCCTCATACCATTATAACAGGTATCTCTGTAACTTTATTCAGAGATCCTATGTCTTTTCCAATTTGAAAGTCTCTTGCTGGGATATGATGATTTGAAAATGATTAAGTAGCTTCTTAAGTTGCTGTAATTTTCTTTCTCCTTTTGGTAGCTTGTTTATCCTCAGCTGATGTTTCTTGTATTTCAAACTCTTTGAAGCAAATTTCTGTCCATTTTCTGTATTTGTATAATAAACTTGGAACTAGATGTGCAATAGTTCTGTCAAGCAAATACGTAGAAAGAGAGTAAAAATTTCAGTACATTACCAAAATCGGAAAGGCCTCTACAGAGAAAGTCCATGGTATTCCTAAACTAGGGCAACACTGAGTAAAATTATCTTTTTACAGTAATACTGGCAAATCATGCAACAAAAAAAAAAACTACATGAAGTTTTTTTGGCATGGAACACAGATTGAATTTAAGCATTTCCTTGATCATGTTGTTTATATGGATTATTACATTTTTGCCTTGACTATGACAGCATTGTTCAAATATACTTCTAGTTATATTCTGTTTTGATGATTTATAGTAAGCTCCATACAAATGTTAATGAGAAAGTGTAGTAGTAATACCTTAAAACCACTTTTAAAATTAATATTCTCAGAAGGATTTGTGCACTGATAATCAGCTACCAGGGAGAGATTGTATGGTTTAATTAAGCTCCATTATTTTAAAGATGAAAAATTACTGCATTTTGCCATCCTTTATTTCCAAACTGGGAGTGCTGAGAGAAGGAAGGTATCAAAAAACATGCCACCCCCGCCCCCCTCAAATTTTCTTTCCCCATAACATTTCGAACTAGGAACAAAATAAAACTAATAGCATTTGGAACCAAACAGAAAATTGTATCAGAGTAGGGACTTCGCTCAGGAAGTAGAAAATCTGCAGCTCAGCCACGTCACTGCTTTCCAACTTTTTGATGGCTTGAAAAAAAACCCTCAGGGATTAAAAAGAGTGACAACAGTTACCTTGGATGTTAAGTGTCAGTAAACCAAATCTGCTTATTGATAACTGCATTTAAAAACCCTCCAATACATTGAAACTTTTACCTTCTTAATATTTACAGAAATTGTGAGCATATGATTTTCTTCCATTGTTTAATGAAATTCTGACTGTCACAGTAACAATGATTGATTTTTTTATTGTTTAGAATTCAACAATCCACGAAGCTAAAGATAAGAAGAAAGCTATTGTCACCTTTGCTAGCTTCTAGACTGATGGTGCTGCAATTCATGTGCTGACACCACAGCTGCATAAAGCAAGGTGGATAAAGGTTATTGGCCTTTCCTACAGGCATTTGGAGCAAAATTTTGCATATTTTTCTTGAGCTCATTGTTTCAGTAAAGTCAGGGAATGACTTTTATTTGTGAAATGAACAGGATTTTGCTTTATACATGACTAATCTCTGGCTGCTGACTTTTTGTGCAATTTTAATAGCTGTGGATAAACTTTTGACTTTTTGAGGCCTTGTTTTTCACAGCATATTTGCACTAAATTAGCCCTATTCTTCATCTGACACATAGGGTAGCACGGGTAGTTATCAGTCGCTATGGTAAATACCTGCAACTGTAATGGGGAATGTCTACATGATTTAGATTAATAAATGGACACTGATAAATTGTGTGTTATGGGGCAAGGATGAAAAATTTATTCTCTCTGAAAAAACACTTTCTTTTACATGAGAGGCACAGAAATACAGCTCTTTTCAGCTTCTATTCTGTATGTCAGCTTGCAAACAGGCTTCCTGCAGCATCTCCTTGATGTTCAGAGTGGCACCTCTGTACACTTCTTACCTGATCTTGTGTGAGCATTTCCTTAAGTGTTCAGTTGAAATTGTCTAAACTACTTTATATGCTTAGGGACAGTGTGGTACAATTTATTGGGTAAAAAATTCTCACATTTGGATATTTTTCCTCCTGTACATACCTTCTTGCCTGTTACTCTTTTCAGCTTTGAAATAATATTAGTTAACTCCACTTTTTGTGATTAAAGAAGAAAAGAACAGATAAAACTGTGTTTTTATTTGCCCATTCTTCAGGGAATGTAAGAGGTAATTAAGGCAGCTGAATTTCAGACAGTTCCTTACTATCAAAAGTGTGTGTAGCTTGGATGAAACAAGAATGGCAATGATGTTTGAACACTCTGGTTGGTTGCTGATTGATTTGGAACAGGAGCTAGGAAAAAATCATCGTGTGGTTTTGTCCTAAACTTTTAAACAGTCCTTGTTTAAAACCATTAACTATTTATATAGTTAACTATTGTTAACTATTGATTATTTATTGATAACTGTGGTATCCATTAAGAAAGGTGTACTACTGCATTGATTGTATTACAACCTGTGGTTCAAGCCTCCCACTTTTAAAGCAGACATTAAATCTTTCAAAGGGCAGAAGCATTTGTTAAGACTTGCTCCATGCAGAAGACTACTTTATGTGCTTAATGTGGTGCTGCTGTTTTTCATCCTCTGCAGGTTTTGCTAATCTTTGCAAAAGAAGACAACCAAAGCAATGGTTTCTGGTGGGCTTGTGACAAAGCAGGATACAGGTGCAATGTTGCCTGGACTCTGGAATCAGCACTTGAATGTTTCCTGGATAAGCACCAGGAGATAATTGTTATAGATCACAGGAACTCCAAGTATTTTGATGCAGAAGATATCTGCAGGTAACGTAAAGCACCTTATGCTTCTCTTAAGCTTTGGAATACGTTGTATGAAACCAAACCTCCTAATCTGAAACCAAAAAATAGGGAAAAAAATAAAAACAACAAACAAAAAAGGAACACCTAAAATTGTAGTGGAATGGAAGTTTGGGGACTGAGGCCAGGAGGTTTGCACATATCTACAACAATATAAAAACTACATTATGCCAAAGCTGAACTGTAGAATTTTCTTTAACTCATGGGGTTTCTATCAGAGCATAAGCCAAAGCTGTTGTGAAACCATTCCCTGCTGTGGGTGCTGCTTCTTTCCTGGCTTACTGCTGCAGCAAAATCTGAAGCTGCAGACTACAAAGGAATGTGTTTGTTTGTGTGAATGTTGTGCACAAGGTCAAGCACTGCCAGTTCTTTGCAAAAGTTTGCATCACTCTTCTAGTCCACATGGTTGTGCCTAAGCTGCTTTAAGATTGCAAGTGTTCAGTATTGGGATCCTTTGCTAAAATACACGGTTTCAGCTGAAGCATACCGTTTGCACCATACTGTGCTTCTAGTCTGCCATGAGCTGAAAGTTGCCATGTTTATGACAAGGGGCATTTTAATGCTCAAATATTTGTGCTGGTCTTTCTTCTAAAAGACCAACAGATAAACATAAAGATTGTTTATTCAGAACAGTGTAATATGAGTGAAAAAACCTTATCATTAGCCAGTAAAACACAGAGTGTTCTTCTGATAGCTTGTCATATCTTTTTTGATTTCTCAATAATATGCAACGTGGTAAAATTTTGTTTATTCAGTATTTAATGAACTGTAGTCTTTTGTAATTTGCTATGCCCAGTTTTCTTACTTTCATATCTTGATAGCACTTCCCACCCTCTAAACAAATTTTGCAATGTCTAGAAGGACAGTGGTAAATCTGAGAGGGGGTAGAGATGCTTGTTTAAATTAGTCAAGGGCGTTGAAGATACTTTGCATGTACTGACCTTTCTCAACTCATGCATTCAGGGCAGTCTGCCCCAGATAAGCCAAATACACAGGGGAAACCTTTGCTAGGTCATAAGAGTGGGTCTGAAAAGTGATGTTTGTACACTGAAGTTTTGGAGCTTTTGCCTTCTTACCTCCATAGAGCAAAATGAGAAATCTGGTGCCAAAATGAAAATGGCTTGTCTAAATGGGGATAGTTAGGTTTGGCAGTGCACTATTGTATTGTCTAGCCTCAGTGGTGTCTTTCAGTCCTGACTTTCATTTATATTTTCAGTGAAGGTACTCAGAGGAATATTGAGAAAGCATTCAGTATAACTAAGAAATTTTTGTTTCCTCAGGTCTATTCGTGCCACAGAGCTATCAGAGCATACTGTAATACTTGCTGTGGTTCCACGCACGTAAGTATTACTAGTTTGTGAAAGATTTTTTATTTTACTTTATAAGAACAGTTACCTAGTCTATAACAGTTTTTTAATAACAGAAAGTATCTTACTAGCAAATTTTACAGAGTAAATGTAGTATTTTTCATCTGAAATGGGCTAGTGATGTTTGATGTTTTATTTGAGTGTTCGACATCTTTCCTTTAGTGCTGACTAGTATTTTCCTGTCACCTCATGATGGGTTTTATAGTAAGAAAGCCAGACATATATGTGTTATTTCTAAGAGGAAAGGAAAGTACAAATTCAAACTAGAAAGGTGTGTATTACTTTCTAAAGGAAATAACTAGAGAAATAACAAATTGTTGTTTATTGAACTGGGTGATGGGGCAAACTTCAATCCAGCTGATGCTAAATTCACCAGAATTTTGTCCACAAACCCTTATTCAGTAATTCATAACCCATGCATTTAGGAAGAATTCTTACTTAAATATATATTTATCAAATATCTTCAAATACCTTTGTTAGAAATCCTACATACTACTGAATCCCTTACCATTCTTATTCATTTCCTAAATCAATTAGAATATTAGGAAATAGAGTGGAAGGAGAAGTATTACTACCAAGATTTGAAAATCAATTAAATTTGCTACTGAACAAGATTTTACTACTCAGCAAATACCTTTATCTTAATAATATTTTTTTAGATTTTTTCTCATACGATATCACAGAATGTCTTTTTTATCTTCTTTGTACTTTGTCTTGCTATCCCCTTCTGTGAATGTAGAGAGATACAAGACTTCTCTGGAGAATCTGTCAGGGTTGCCCCAGGAGTAACTATCCAGTTGTATAGAAGCTGCAAATACCTATAATAGAAGAGTGTAGCACCAGCTTCTGTAACAGTAAGATTTTTTGTATGTATTTAAGGAAAAATTCTTCTCACTGAGTTCATTATGTTTAGAGAACTATGTTAGATTCATGCCATCTAATCCTCAAGTGTTATGTCCTCTTATAGTAAATAATATACCAGCCCTGCTTAATATCTATATCAATGACCTGGACAAGGGATTGAGTGCACCCTCAATCAGTTCACAGGTGACACCAAGCTGGGTGGGAGTGCTGATCTGCTGGAGGGCAGGGAGGCTCTGCAGAGGGATCTGGGCAGGCTGGATCATGGCTGAGGCCAATGGTGTGCGGTTCAACAAGGCCCAGTGCTGGGTCCTGCCCTTGGGTCACAGCAACCCCAGGCAGTGCCACAGGCTGGGGCAGAGTGGCTGCAAAGGACCTGGGGGTGCTGGTGACAGCAGCTGAACATGAGCCAGGCTGTGCCCAGGGGGCCAAGAAGGGCAATGGCATCCTGGCCTGGATCAGCAATGGTGTGGCCAGCAGGAGTAGGACAGGGATTGTCCCCCTGTGCTGGGCACTGGTGAGGCCACACCTGGAATCCTGTGTCCAGCTCTGGGCCCCTCACAACAGGAAGTATGTTGAGGTGCTGGAATGAGTCCAGAGAAAGGCAGTGGAGGTGGTGAAGGATCTGGAGCATGAGTCCTGAAGAGTGTGGGGTGACTGAGGGAGCTGGAGATGTCTAGCCTTGAGAAGAGGAGCCTCAGGGAGACTTTGTTTCTCTCTACAAGTACCTGAAAGGAGGATGTACTCTCCATACCAGGTGGGGTATATTTTTTCTCTCCGAAGTATCAAGGGATCTGACCATAGGAAATGGCCTCAGGTTGTGCTAAGAGAAGTTTAGATAGGGCATTAGGAAAATTTTCTTCCCTGAAAGGGTTGCAAGCATTGCAACCCAGGCTACCCAGGACAGTGGAATCACCATCCCTGCAGGTATTTAAAATATGTGTGGATGTGACACTTCGGAAGTGGTTCACTGCTGTTCAGTGCTTAGCACTGCTGAGTTGAGAGGTTGGACTCGATGATCTAACAGCCATTTCCAACCTGAATAATTTTGTGGTCGTGTGATTTTGTTTTGTAGATCTGCTGACCAAGAAGAGACTTCTGTTCTCCCCCTTCTTGATGCAGGCTTTGATAGGGTATGTATAAATTGCCTATGTAATATAGAAAACATAGTAGCTTCATAAATTACAAACACTTCTGCTTCCTCAAATTGAAAAGTACACATCCTCTTCTGTTAGAAATTTTTTGATAAGAAACCAGTGGCAGTTGATTTAGTTTTCCTTTCAGGAGTATTCCAGAAGCATATGAAACAAAAAGGTCTGTGATCTAGGTAGTCCTTTCAGAATAGCAGCTGTGCTGACATTACCTTCTTGTGGTCTGGCTGGGTAGCGCGTGTGTTTTATGACTGCACTAAGAAACAGGGGTGGGAGGCTCTGATTAACACATCACAGCATGCTGACTCGTCACCCAGACCCCTCCATGTGTCTCAGGCTGCTGGGATTTCTCTTCTAAAGGGACTACAAAGCTGGTCCAGCTCGTGAAGATTTTTCCCCCATAATATCTGTCATGTTGGTTTGCACAAATTCTTCTCAGTACGGAGTTAGAGACGCTCCTGTACCAGAAGCAGAAGGGAAGATAACTGTTCATACTGTTCCTCAAAGGGCTTTGTAGGAGAGAGCAGAAAGGCAGGAGTTCTCAGCTCTGAAAATTTAGGTTGCTTACCCTCTCCCAACATTCGTGTGAATGGCTTTGGTTGGATATTAATGTTATGTTACTCTAAAATAAACCAGCTGCATTTTTTAAGTTAGCCATTCATAAGGAAGGATGTGTACTTAGGCATAAGAAGCACATCTGAAGAATTAGTTAGAATTAACTGTATATATTTTCTTTAAACTATACATATTTAGGAAAATTAACTGTAGTAAGGAAAATCAGAGAAGAGATGGAATTAATCCAAGCAAAAATCTCATTCTCCTTTGCTCATACTGAGTCCAGTGTCTGAGCCAACTCACATTCAGCCCAAGTTTGTTTATACAGCAGAACATGAACCAGAATTACTATTTTCAGATGATCTCCCGAAAATAGAGGTATAAGATCTTGCCTGTACTGCAAGAGTATTGTGGGGCCAAAGCATTTCTAGAGTACTTACATGCTCTGAAAATTGGAAATGTTAGTCTAAGAGAAAGGTCAGCCCAAGAATGCCAGTGCTTTATTAATGTGGTTTCTCCCTCTCCCTCTCCTTCTCCCTCTCCCTCTCCCTCTCTCTCTCTGGCTGAAATATTTTTCAAAGAGAAGTTTATTACTTCTCAGGTCTACTGTTTCATTTGAACACAATGCAGGGCAATGTGTTTTGTAAGCTAGATTAAAACTGTAGGTGTAGTACTGAATAAAGTCAGAGGAGACTCTCTGGTGTGAGACATGGCTCAGTAATACTCTCTGCCTTGGAAAAAAGAATCTTTTTGCACCTGACAGCTGTGCTAACTACTCTCTTTTGCTATCCCACATTTATCAGAGGGCTTGAATAATGTAATAATTGCCTATTGGAACTATTTTCAAGACTTTAAAATACATCTGATGTCAAAGTTTCTTTTTTGCTGTGGGGTGGACATAGGAATTATTTTTGCTTAGATGGCAATCAGTAGGGACTAAATGCATTATCACACAAAGATTTAAACATGACCCTCTTCAAAAGAGAGGTGGTATTTGCAGGGAGTCTCTTCCTCATCAGCAAAAATTAAATTTAGTTTTGGAAAATTGCAATCTGTTTAAATCATATTTTTTTCTTTATGCTGACTTATTTCTGGTTTTTCTTCCTTCTTCTTAAGAAAGTTCATTTCATTTCATCTGATTTTCCCTCTGTATCATTAACAACTCTTGTGTTTGTGTATTAATGCTGTTGCTAATCCAGGACATTAATTATGCTTTTTTTTCCCTCATCCTCATAAACCTAATAGTGGTGGCCTACTTAGGATGGGCTAATTTGAATAAGCAATTTGGCGTCCTGACTGATTTTTAGCTATGATTTAAATCAGCAAACAGGAGATCTTAATGTTTGCAGTTACTGAATTACAACCTTGTCTTGTATTTTGAACCTCTTTAACAAATGTTGATTCTCATTGACCAGATACTATTAAAACTTACTAGATTGAAATAAAAGGAGTCTTTAATATTAAAATGAATTCTTTTTGCTAAGCAAAAAGAAGAATGCATTACTGCTAGTTTATAATTCTTGTGGCTTGTACTAAGTTCTGCACAGAACAACAGTGGAATCCCATTATAATGAAGTAAATAATTTAAAACTATATGTTATTTAAATCAAAATGTAGTGCATAAATATGAAACTTTTTAAAAATAAAGTGTTTTTTCTGCCTTCTAATATCTGCAAGTTCAGAAATCTTCTTATTCTTGTGTCACATTAAAAGCACAGATAAGAAAAAGAAATGTTTCGTGCTATTTTCATGTCCCAGTTGATTTCTCAGTTTTGAGTCAGTCAGCGAATGACCAGCATTAGCACTATGAACTTAGATAAAGTGATTCTTTAGATCTGCAGAGGACTATACAACAGTTAAGAGCATGGTTAGCACTTTGATAAGCTGCAGTTCTTGTTTCTTAGCAAAAGATTTGTGCCAAGAATTTTGTCATTGAACAGCAGTGCTTAAATTTTTTCAGTAAAACACACTGCTATAAAATTTAGTTTATAAAGAGCCTTAGCATAATCTAGTAAGTCTATTTCATAAAATAGGTTGCCATCGTAGATAAATTTTATATTATTGAGAGTTGTTCTCATTCTTTTAAATTTAGCTCAAACGTATTTGAATACTTAAAAGAGCATCCAAAACCTGAAAATCTTAGTCTACACTGCTTTAGAAGAGAAGTTTGTTAGCAGGCTGTTTGGTATACAAAAACACAACATTGTTTGCTTTGTTTCTGCCAACTTTTTATGGTACCTTTCGTTTTCCCATGTGTTCTGTAGCATGGGAGGTGAAAGTTACAGAAATATTTTAAGATGTCAACATTAAGGAGTGGAACAGACCCATGCCAACAGTTGTTTTTAATGTTACTTTTGTTATATTTTACTCACAACTTGGAATTAAGCCACTGGTCTCCAAAACTCAGTTTTTCATACAGGACAGAAGCACAGATTTCTTGAAAGCTATTCTTTGGAGGTTTGCATGCTCCTCTGGACTGTGCATGCAGCTGTGCTGTGAGAACTAGAGACAACACAGGGCATTTCCTGTGATAACTAAAATCGGTGCATGTGATTGATCAATAAACTTTAACTGAACTCAGAGAATATACTTCTTTTGTAGCAACATAATTTTTCTGATTTCAGCAGGACCAAGCACAAGACCTTTTAGACTTAACAGAGAACATTCTCTCCTATCTGGAGTAAAAGTTTTTTTCACTGCAGTCAGATGCTCCTTACTTTGTGTACTTCTGAATTCACTGTGGCAGCTCAGTGAGATTACTTGAGAAGCAAAGTTGCTTCACTTTTGGAGCTTTAGCTGCAATATTTGCTTGGAAACAAATGCCAAATATATTTTTCTTTCTTTTTTATTAGCATGTATGTTTTATGTCTCTAAGGTTTTCCATTTCCATTCTGAATTAAGGATAGATGTTCAAAATAATACATCAAGGCAATACTGGTTTTGTGTGAGACTGTTTTTGGGGTTTTTTTGGAGTATTTGGTGGGTTGCTAAAACCAAATGGGAAAATGCAGCAAAGGAATTAGCATTTTTATACTTGCTTTGTATTTAGATATTTGTTTAGTCTTAAAAACGAGAAACTCATTCCTGAGGGAAAGATTATTATTCACAACACAAAGGGTACAACAAAAACTTTTTTCTACCAGAAAAGAAAGCATGGTTGGGGTTGGAAGGGACCTCTAGAGGATATCCTGCCCAGCCTCCCTGCTCAAGTAGAGCCCCCTAAAGCAAGTTCAGGACCATGCCACACAGTTTTTCAAGATCTCCAGTGATGGAGATTCTGCAATCTCTCCGGGTAACCTGTGCCCAGGTCACCCTCACAGTAAAAAAATAGTGTTGCCTGATATTCAGGCTCCCTGAAACTCCTTTGTTTCTGTTTATACCAATTGCCTCTGGTCCTGTCACTGGGCATCACTGGAAAGAAGCTGGCTCTGTCTTCTTGCAGTCTCCCTTCAGATATTTATATGCCTTGATATGTTCTCCTCTTCAGCATTCTCCTTTCCAGGCTGAAAAGTCCCAGTTCTCTTGGCCTGTCTCACAGCAGAGGTGCTTTATCACCCTTGTGGGTCTTTGCTGGCCTCATGCCAGCTTTCTTTAAAAAGTTAAAGTTTTAGATGCAGAAACAGAAATAACAGTTTAAAACTATTCCAGCCTATTTCATGTACTCTTGATTTGTCTTCCAGCAATTCATGGAGAACACCAGCGTAACTGCTTGTTACAATGAACTGGTTCAAATAGAACACGGGGAAGTGCGATCTCAGTTCAAATTACGGTATGTAGAGGTGTGAGAAACTGCAAACGCCAACCTCTTGGTCTAAACAATTGCATCATGTTATTTTCTGCTTCTTCCCAGCTAAGCATTTGTGTGCCTTGCATCTATATGTTAACTAATGCACTACTCTTCTCTATTTCCTCCTTCTGTGTTTTTGTAAAGGACAAACTCAGTGCCTTAGTAACTGTGGTACCCTGAGAAATCTTGGTCAGTGTAGGTGTGGGCTGTGAATTTAAGTGACGGTAAAACTTTATAAAGTCATCCTTGATCTCGTGTGTCTGAGCTTTCATATTAGGAGGCTTGAACTGAATGCAATCTTGATTCAGCTCTGCGTTTTTATTTTCTTTCTTGGCCAAGACTCAGCAGGCCAGGAGCACAGTTTTCTATGTTATCGAGAAGTTAAATGGGGCTCATTCCCACTTTTGCACTTTTTCCCCACATTGCACTTTTTCCTTAATGTGACTAATTTTGTATTTAGTATCGGTGCTTTTGCATGCATGTAGATATTTTTGCAATGCAACCATATGAAACTATAGGAAAGAAATGCAGAGAAAGAGCTGTTCTCTCTGTGGCATAAATTAATTCGAGTTCCATCTACAGAAAATACTATCACTTTTCTACAGGTTTCAGTGTCTCTGTTTCACAAGTTGATTTTTTCTAAGATTTCTTTGCAAACTGATACTAAAGTGACTTTATATTTTGAGTGATTGCATATTCATGCACACAAACTGCAATGACGGTAGAATTCCAGGGAAAAAAATTGGATTTTGGTTTACACAATTTTAATAGTTGTTTTCTAAAACTCAGCAAGAATGTCTTCCCCTTACCTCTGTCTTATTAGAGAAATGCCATTAAAAACTAATCAGAGCCGATCCTGGTTATGGCATTCAGGTATAATTTTTTTTTTCATTTGTGTGGTTTAATTAAGTGGGGAAAAGAGTGCTGCACTGCACATCTGTGCTGCTAGGTGATTATCTGGGGGTCTTCTAAACAGCTTTGTGAAAGTGAAAGGGAAGAGAATACAGAAAGTTCGTTGATAGAATTAAACTCAGGATATGTCACGTGTTCAGACAAAAGAGAAATGTGATGAAAAAGTAGCATCAGCCCCAGAGAGAAGTAAATGAGATCATGTCAGTGGTCAGAAGTAGCTTTCCATTCCTAGCACAGACTCCACTTTTCCACATAGCTGGTTCTGGTTGGAAACTTGGTTGGACATCTGTGTGCTAATTAAAGGGGATATGGGCCATTTAAACTTGTAATTTTGCTGGCTTACTTGCCAGATCAATTGAAAATACTAAGGCTTGAATAGTGCAGACATATCTGTGTGTTTTCTTACAGAAAGTCTATGTAATTACATTTGTTAGCAGCTGATGTACCAGACAGGCATCTATCACTGAGACAAATTAGTTCCTTCACACAGCACAAAAATCACACTTGGAAACCAGCTTGAATTGCTAGAAAATCACATATAAAATTACACTCCAAGCTCCTTTTATTATATGAGCAGAAACACTTCTGTCATCTTCTGTACAAAATACTTTTTCCCCACAAACCTTCATCCACATGGTTGCATGTCTGTGTTTCTGCATATGTCTCTTTGTGTATCCTATTTTGTTTTGAGTTACTTCTACAATAAGCAGAAGTAGTAATGTCCTGTATTTCTTAATTCTCTAGTCAGTGGTACTAATTCAAACCCTGATATGCAGCCTGGAAGCAAGAGGTTTCTTTTAGGTAATAACTGTGTACAGGAATATTTATGCATGGTGCATTTTAGCTCCCTGAAATGAGAATTATGTAGAAGAGAATTAGTTTGTCTTCAGACCAAATCAAAGACAAGGCACTGATGTCTATCAAAGCAAGTATGACTAAGTTGTTTCTTCCAGTTCTCACTCTTCTGGGCCATGGCAGGGTCTTGGAACTACATGATCTTCATGTCCCTTCCAACCCAAATCATTCTATGATTCTATGAGATATACATTTTTCCCTAATATTGGAAGCGTATATTAATTTTAATGCCATCCTGTGTAAGTCGTAATATAAGCAATTTGAATTCTGTACCAAGAAGGTAAGGCTTTTGTTTTCCTGCATTAGTTCAAGGATAGCCCTGAAAATAATAGGCAAAAAAGATCATCTGGGTCCTGAAAGATGAGGATGTATGGAAATCAAGTCACTGCATTATTATTTGAAAGAAGGAAAATTGGTAATTTTTTTATTAGAACTTTGAGATGGATCAAATTGTTTCCTTTAACTGTGTTGTATTACAGTTTCTTTGATAGTGCCAACCTACTTGCTGTACTATAAAACTTTGTCTATATGTGCTGTCATGATTTTTGTGCTTCCAATCTTTAATGATCACAGAACTTTCTGATGTAATAGTAGTGTGTTATTTTACTGCTAATTGTTCATTCCTGCTGTTCAGAGCATGTGTGTAGATACAAATGTACTCTTAAGATGCTGCAGCACCTATGAGCACATTTACAATGTAATCTGCAGTAAAAGCACGTTAACAACAGGGATGTCTGAGGCTGGATGTTCTGAAAAAGTCATAATAAAGATTGTGGCGTGGTCTAGTCAAAACAACTGCTATTTTGTGGTTCATCTATCAATAAGTACAATTTAATCATGTATTTATAGTGAACAAAATGTTCTAACAATAAAACTAATGTGCTAATCATTTGCTACTTGCAGGGCTTGTAATGCAGTGTTTACGGCATTAGACCATTGTCAGGAGGCTGTAGAAATAACCAGTGAAGATCACGTCATTCAGGTAGGGGGGGAAATGTTAACTGTTTTATAGAATTTGAAAAGAGGGACCCCAAAAAGATCTTGGGTCAGTAGTTCCTGTTCTATATCAATATTTTAGTTTTGTTGCCCATTAGAAAGTCTTGTGCAATGAACTGCTTAATTTCTGATTGCTGCACACTGATGCCTGCTGAATTTATAAGACATTTCCTTCTGTAACTTCATTGAAATTACCGCTTTCGGTAATGTTGTTTCTGGTAAAACCTGCATTCATTCTCTTTCTGTGCCTTCTGATAGATTACATATTGCCTTCTCTTACTTGAATAAAATGTTTCACCATTACACAGTATTTTTATATGAGAAACACTGAATTGTAGGGATGTGTGGTTGTGGCTTTAGCATATAACTTTTCACACTTTGGTACTTACATATAACTTACTAGTTTTTAAATAAGTTTTTTTTTAATATTGTCCTAATGTGCCTTTGTTTTGGCAGTATGTTAATCCAGCCTTTGAACGGATGATGGGGTACTGCAAGGGAGAACTTATTGGCAAGGAGCTTACTGAACTACCTAAAAGTGATAAAAACTCTGCAGATCTTTTGGACAACATAAACACATTTATTAAAAAAGGAAAGGTAATCAAATATGACAAACTCTTGTGAAATCACTATAGAGTTCTATTCTGATTGGTTTTATTGCTGTAGGTTTAAGAACACTAGATGTATTCTTCATGAGTACACATATAAGACCAGAATTGTGTTTCTCAGATGTCTAAGCACAACAGCCCATGCCAAAGACAAGTGACTACAGATATCATTAGCTTTGCTTTTAGGATCTGACTGAACTCCTACTGATTTGCTGGCTTAAGGTCAGTATCAGAATGTTTTCTGTGTTTCTGTTTTGCTTAGAGCCCATGGAGCTTTTCTTAGATGCAATGTAACAGTTTGTCCCTCAGTCAGTCTCTCAGGTGGCTGAATCATCCAACTAAAACGTGTAACTTCTGTCAAACAGCAGAGCCTTGGTGATTGTGTACTTAAAGCACCAAAATGTATTGGCACCCAGTGGGGTGCCAATTGCTTTCCTAATAACTACGGTTAGAATGTCTGCAGTGCACTGTGAACTCCTGTCCTTAAGGCGATGGGCCTGGCAATATGACATGCAACAGTCTCTTGTCCCATCTCCCCTGGCTTGCAGAAATACCTGTCGCCCTTCCCTGTCTCACATTCTGCTTCAAGACCTTTGGGGAGTTCTTGAGCCTTTGAGTCATGTCCAGCAGTGATCTGAGCTTTGTGAGTCACTGTCTGCAGGTCCACCTTGGTTCATTAGCAATACCTACAGGCCACTCCTGCTGTGCTCCTCCTCATTTTTATGGGCTGCCCTGCAGCTAGCACTGTTCTGTTCAAAGGTATCTTCTACCCCCTCTCCTGCTTCATCCTACCCTGCTGCCAGGTAGTTCCCCCCTTAAGATATTTCCTCTTTGAGGTTAGTTGAAGGACAAATTTAGATCAAGGATTTCTGAAGTTTAGTATATATATCGCATGGCAACTGACAACTTCAAAGCTGAATGGTGTTCAGGCTTATTTCTGCTGGTGCCAAAGGATATCCGCTGGATGTGTTGCAGTCACTGACCCTTATGGTGGCACCTAGCAAGAATGTTTGTCACCTCTTTAACTAGATGATACCTACAGTTCCTTGTAAAAATTGTAAAGTTCCTTGTAAAAAATACCTTCTCCCAAGAGGAACATAATTATACTCTCCTTATGTTAGTTAAAGATGCTGCTCTCCATTGGGTGAATAGGTGCTGCTCACTCTCTCTGTAATACTTGAGAGTACATTAATTTTATACAATTTTTAAAAATACAACTATGAAATAAAAATAATTATTTAATACATAAGAACTATGCAGTAATAAACAAGTATTTGACTGCAAGCTATGTATGCTCAGATGCTGTCTCTGTTTTGTGTGTTTCTTTAGGAATGGCAAGGAGTTTACTATGCAAGAAGGAAATCAGGGGACAGTATCCAGCAGCATGTGAAGATAACACCTGTGGTCGGTCAAGGAGGGTAACTAGCTTGTCCGGAACATAATTGCTTTCTGGGTTTTAGGGCCTTCTCTCTGCTTTCTGCATCTGTAAGTTTGACATGAACCTCCGTGTATTTAGCAACTGGGAAACCTCCGTGTTTGTGTGTGTGCTTGTACGTGTTCCCAGCTTCGCAGTTTAGAACAGACACATTGCCAAATTCTGCTCCCAGATTTGCAGAATTCCTGGACCGACAGAAGTATCAGGTGTCCTGCAACAAAAACCTCAATGTCACACTGAAGGACTGCTTGTCACACAGTTGTCTTGCTGGTGTTGGGCTTGGTATCTGTTTTCCTAAGGGCTTAGAGATCTCTCCTTTAGAAAATAGTAACGTATCAATTCACTTCTGTCTTTACGATGTGATGGAGTAACAAGTGATAATTTCTGTTGTTAGGAAAATAAGACACTTTGTGTCCCTCAAAAGACTGCATTGTACCAATGAAAACAACAAGCAGGTATTGTATTTCTTTCATGTGATAATTTTCATAGCTTTTAGTGAATGATATTTTTTGGCTTATAAATTTTTCCAAGAAGATGTGACCTATATTGTCGATGAGATTCTCACTGATTGTTGGAGCAAGCAAGAAAATTTCAACATTTGCTTGTATTAGTCTCTGTTTGTAGGACTCCTGAGGAAGACCATCTTTCATTTCTGGAGCATGGGCATGACAGTTGAGTCCATGATACTGTGGAGCAATACAGGTCACAGTTCAAAGGGAGCTCAGGGCCTGTTTTGTAGGGCTGCTCTTGCCAGTCTGATCTGCTGTACTTACGCCAACTAATGATCCGTGCTGAGTGGCCCCAAGGTTTGATAAGTGTGGTACTTTTATGAAGTGCAGCCCTCATGCTGGCCCTGAGGCTTCCCACACCTGCCAGAACAGGTGCTGTGGAAGGGTGCTACTCAAGCCACAACCCCAGTAAACCAGCAGCAGTGGCAGAGCTGGGTCGCTGCAGTCCAGACACAAATCTACACCAGCTACCCCTACAACAAACCTGATAGTGTGGGGAGCTGTTTGCTGTCATCTTCTGCTGGCTTCCTCCCTCTGATGGTGTCTGAGGCAAATGATCATATCACATACTTGGCTCCAGAAGTATTCTAGTAAGTGCCATGTTGAGTAAAGAAGTCTAGACTTCTGTGAGCAAAGGAGCGAAGCCTGTCTTTGGCATGTGGTCTCTAGGGGTGAGCTAGAGAGTGGCTGGAAACATTTTAGACTGAGCACGTGCTCTGTAAATAGGATATGTTTCCATGTCATTTAGGAGAGGGGTTATGTATCTTGTTTTATTTAGAATTTTACGTGCTTTTATCTGTCATGTGGGTAAAGACACTTAGGCATGAAAAGTATTTAGAAAGTCACTAGTATGCCCTTTCTTCAGTAGAACAATACTGAATATTAACACATTACTGGAAAACCACTACTTCTAGAAGAATTTCATAGGCGGTAGCATTTGACTGTTGAAACCATCCTCCTTGCACAAGTTTTTGTGGAGGTAGGTAGGAACAAATCAAGGAGAACTCTGCATAATTCTTGGAAGAAATTTCCATGTCCGTCATTGAAAAATAAGATTGATAGTATTTTAAACTGACTTCATCTTTGAACTAAACCATGTGTTTTAGTATTAGCGGCAAAATATCATTTACAGTCATAGGATGTTTTAAAATGCTCAGGCTAGAGTGCAACAGAGTTTTATAAAAGCAGTGATAAAGTTGCATGCATTTTTAATTCATTGTTTAAACCTCATACCTGTTGTTTCATTTATAGCTGCTTTGATGTTGATTTGCAAGTAAGACATAATCTAAAGGCTTTTTCTGTATTATATACGCAACTGAAGGACTGGTACAGGGAGGCATATATATGATACTCAGTGCAAGATAATAAGTATTACAAATTTGTACCCATATGTAAAAAATAGCAGTAGGAATATAAGAAAAAAAGTAATTTTTTTTGTCCTTCTTTGCCCTGTAGATTGCACTGCTTATACCAGTAAGAATCATGCAATCACAGATTGATTTGACTGGAAAAGCACCTTAAAGATCACCTAGTTTCAATCCCCTTGTCACAGGCAGGATCACCTTCCACTAGAATAGGTTGTTCAGAGCCAAACCCAAGCTGGCCTTGAACTTCCAGGGACAGGACATCCACAGCTCCTCTGGGGAACCTGTTCCAGTGTCTCACCACCCTCAAAGTAAGGAATTTCTTCCTGATAGCTAGTTGAAACTTACTTACTCTCTTTCAGTTTAAAACCATTGCCTCTTGTCCTATCACCAAACACTCTTGTAAAATTTTCTTTTATTTTCTTGTAGGCCCCTTTAGTAATTGGAAGGTGTTAAGTGACCTCCCAGAGTCTTCTTTTCTGCAAACTGAACAACCCCAACTCTCTCATCCTTTTCACATAAGAGAGGTGCCACAGCTGTCTGGTCAGTTCTGTGGCCCTTCTCTGGATCTGCTCCTGCAGGTTCATGTCTTATGCTGGAGGCCCCTCCGGAGGTGCTGTGGCCCCTCAGGCAGTTGTGACATCGCAAAGCTGGCTGTCATCAGTCAGCCTGATGCAGGTGCACCTGGTCCCACTGGCTGTGTCCCTGACAGGGATGTGAGTAATCCTGGCCCCAGTGCAGAGCCCCAGGGAGCACCACCCGGCGCTCCTCTCCACCCAGACTCCTGGCCATTGGCCATAACTCTTGAAGCAGGTTCCTGAAGAGGCCTAAGTCTGTTCTCCTGAGGTCCATGGTAGTGAGTTTACTGTGTGCCCTCATCAATGCCCTGAGGAGGATCTTGTACTCCTTCATGATTGCTGCAGCCCATGCTGCCCTTGAACTTCACGTGCCCCATAAGCCTCTCCTTATTAATGAGAAAAAGGGAAATTAGGAAACAAGGACTTGTGTCCACAGCAACATTCATATTCTCCTGTACTGCTGGAAAGTATCATCCATTCCTGTCTTTTTAATACTGGTTCATGAGAAGCTAATAAATTGAGCACTATAGACCTGGGAAGATTTACACATTTAGTGATCCCAGGGAATATGGCCTTCAAAAGGTTCTCCACAGATACAGAGGTCCGCCACAAAGGTTAAAGACTGCAGCCTAACAGAAAGTATGGTCTGTGGAGATTTTACGTCCCTTGGGGAAAAAATAAGGTGTGTTTGATAGAACTATGCAATTGTTGTTTCACTTCTGTCACAGAAATATCTCATGCCTGTAGGAGATCCTGGACAATGCAGTTTTCCTAATGTCCATGCTTTAATACTTGCAGCAGTAGAACTTCTTCTTAGACTAAAAAATAGGGTTCCTTTTCAAGCTACAGATAAATCTTTATGGAAGGATAAAAGGAAATCAAATTAAATATTTACTTAAGTTGCAGAGCAGTAAAAGTTGTCATAGTTCTAATTTTGATGTCAAATGTCTAATGTTTCACTAAATCAATATAATTTTAAACATCTTGATCTCAGCATTCAGACAGTACATGTTGACTTCAAAACATCCTTACATCATTACACCATTACACATTTCCACCTTAAAAAAAGTATATGTGTTTTTTGCCAGTACCAACATCCTCTGTAAGGGATATCAGAGACCACTGGAACCTTCATGTATTTCCATGCCAGATTTATCACATAGAAAAACCTAGCATGTTAAATTTATGCATGGAAAAAAAAATACCTAAAAGAGCATTAAGCATTCTTACAGTGAAGATTTATGAATGAGGATTGAGTTTCATCTGACTATTCCCGTGTGCTAAGCCTAGGTAATTATTAATGCTGCCATTGTCAATTTGAGACCTGGCAGGATAGTGTCCAGTGTTTTCACATTCATAAATTTACAAGAGAGGTGTTGTTTCTTTCAAGAACATATTGACCCAAGATTAACTGTGTAGCTGCCCTCATAACTTACCTTACATGGCTCTTTCAGGACATGCCGCAGAAGGGGAAGAGAAGTATTCAGAACAGAAATGTGGTTTATTTTTTTAGTAAAGCACTTGGAGGACTGTGACTATGTTTCTGCCAGTTGTGCAGTAGAAAGAGATATATCCATTGGCTTTGAAAGAAGCCCCAGTGAGGCCAGAACAAGCAGTTCAGATGCCTTTTGTCACTGTACCATATTTGATGAGATTTCCTTAACCTTGCTCTGTTTGGATGAGATTATTTCTCTGAGAGTTTCTACATGGTCACAAGAGAGGTGTTGAAGCTTTTAAAATTTTTTTGGATGAAGAGTCAGTTCTTACACTCCCTGAACAAGAATTATATGGAGCAATGACAAAGGGTTTCCCTTTCTTATTTTTTTTTTAATTCGTTACAAAAAGCCATGCCTGAATTTTGAAAGAAGAAAATTTCCATTTTCTTCTCTTCTCCTTTCACTGTCTGTCTCTCCCCCTCATAGCAGAAAGGAAGAAACAAAAGAAATCTGTGCAAGAATGGCAGAATGACAGAAAAGAGAATTTGTATCACTCTTTTCCTTTCTTTCCTGAATAATCCTCATGAGGACCCTGCAGCATGCACAGTCACAAACTGATACAGACCAGTAAGAGCACACAAGCACAACCTTGTCATACTCTCCTTTTAACTGATAGGTTGCAGCCATGGACTTCATGCTTCCATGTAATCTAGTGCTTTGCTACAGGCAGGTGATGGATTTGGTGAGAGCAACCAGTCACCATATGACAGTAATGGACTCCTAAATATTATGTGTACTGAATAATTTGTAATTACAGTGTAAAGCACTGACAATTATTCATCTGAAGTAAGAGGGTATGTGTATCTTCTCTAGTGACTGCAGTAAAAAAGTAAGCATTATTCCTAGTAAGCATTATTTCTAGTCTTTCTCTGTGACTCCGTTAGCTATACTTATATACATCTTACACCAATTTTCAAGAAATAACTTGAGGAACTGCCATTTCTGGTCAGCTCTCCTATCAACAGCAAAACACTTTCTTCTAATCACACAGCAAAGGAGAGTGGTGAGGTGATTAGCAGGTATTAAACTGTCATGAACTGGACAGTACTTTTGTTTTTGAGAAGAATGAAAAAGTAGAGGAACATTTAATCTCTGTTACTGCAGACCAAGCAATAGCTGTAAATTTTAATATATGGAAATATCCTATCTAAATTCTAAGAAAGCTTGAAATACCTACTATTGGAGCTACCTAAAATGTTTCAGAAGAACAAAGAATTAAGATTCCATGCCTAATTATTAATTCATGAGAATGATTTAAAACTACTTGAAAATAAAGGTCTGATGAATGACAACTACCTCTACACCTTGTTTCGTGGAGAATAGTTTTTAAAACTGAGTTTTTTGAAGTCCAGTTTATCAGTTATCCATGAAAGGATGCATTCAAAATTAGTGTCAATAGTTCTAAGAAAAATATTTTTAAAGGACAAAAAATAAGTTGTCGGTTTTATTTTATTCTTTCAGGTTCATATGCAACTTGCACTTAAAACAGTACCTAAATGAGTATCAGTTCTCTTGTAAACACAGGCATTAAACGGGAATTCAGTACATAAAAGCACTTGTATCTATGATTTTCTGCATGGCCTATCTGTTTGCTTTCATATTATTCCTCACATCTAATTACACCTGAAGAAGAGTCTTAGCCAAACAATTTTTTTTAGATAGCTGAATGGAAAATACTGAATATGGACAGTGTTGAATGCAGCCTGTTTAAAGTTTTTTGTATTCTTTTTTCTTACATATATGTTTTACTCTTATCTCCAGCTCTACAAGAGTCACCGTGAGGATAAGCACACAGGAGACAATTCGCAGTCAGGTTAGAATATTACCCTTTACCTCTACATTCCTCTGTGCTGGGGGCTGTGTCGGGGTTCTCTGCTAGAATGAATTGTTGTGTCTTCCCCCTGTCCGGTCAGTGGTCAGAGCTGATGGCCAAGGACAGATGCCAGCTGCCTCTGATACCACACCATGAATTGGACTTGTAATCATCAATAATTGAGTCTCCTGTGCAGACCTCTTGCTGTGCATTTGAAGTTCACTGTTTGTTCCTGTGGCTGGTGTACCTTGGCACCTCTTTGTGTTTGAAATGTGGAATGTGCTGATTTGTGCCAGCGCACCTGCCACAATGTGTCAGCAGGCCATTGGTTTGGCCCCAGCACAGGCTAAGACAGTTGTCTCTGAGGTGTCCAGGCCTGAGCAGCTCAGTTCCAGTCAGCACAGAGTTGCTGCAGCATGTCTGCAGCCCTTGTCTTGTGTCTTAGGTAGGTTTACTTACTCACAGACAGCACATTCCAGCACTCCTTGAGTTTTGCAGAGGTTTTGACTAGAAGTGTGGAGCATGAGGGAATAATTCCTTCCTCCAATGCTATGTAGGGTTTGGAATACCCCTTTTCCCTGAAGAAGGAGGTACTTCAGGCCACTTTTAAGCTTGTGACTCTAGTGGTCTCAGCCAGACTGATGTCTTATAATCATGAGTGAAAAGATTCTCATGCCTTGTTACCTTCTGGCACCTGAAGCCTTTCCTGCTATGAAAGGTGAGACAACATTGCTGTGCAATTTCAGGCAGCTTCTGGTTTTCACATGGGAGGAGGATATAACATCCTAAGAGCATGGGACATGACTGCTTGACATCCCCTGCTCTCTTAAGAAGCCTAAGAATACATAGAAACATCTGAGAGCTTTGTGATGCCAAATAGCAATGGGCAGGGGGAAGAGGAGACAATATGAAATTGGATGTCCTCATTCCCATTGTTGCTGCCAGAACTGATGCACAGTATGTTAAACCATTTGTTTCTGTATCCCTTTAACAAAAGCAGATTTTCTTCTTGCTGTTTCTGTCCTGCAAACAGAAAGATGAGGAAGCCCATAAATTAAGCAGGACACTTGTTACTAACACATTTATATTAGCTTGCTAATGTTTTAAGTTTGCTCATTATTGTGACAGATTTCAGCAAGCCTGGGAAGCCCCATGGTATGACACCACATTGATGACAACATTGCAGTGAAAGTAGGCAGTCTCAGAGCATGTGATGTAGGTTATCCTTCCCTGCAGTCCATGGCTGGGCTCCAAGAATAACTTTTCAGAGCCATGGGCATATACCAATATGTGACGAGCATAGAAGAGTAATCCATGTGTATCATGCTGTTTGCAGTGGTGTGAGATTTGTAACAACCTGGATGATAAGATTTTCTGCTCACCAGGTAAAGAAAAAAAATTTACGTAGGCATTTAAATATTTACAGATGAAACCACAGTATGGCAGAGAGTAGCTTTTATGCACCTGTGACTCTTTGGGTGGCGCTAGGAAAGTGTTTGACTTGCTAGTTGGTATTTAACACAAGGAAAGTTGTTTTGTCAGCTGTAGCCACTCAGAGCTATGTTTATGTGTAAATGCTTGCTCCCACTGAAGTGCCTTATGATAAAGTCATCCAAATGTTAGTGAAAGAATAAATAAAATTATTTAACATGCATTAGCTATGCCCTGCTCTTAGGTGTCAACAGAGGAAAATGCTTTCCATTTCTCCAGTTCAGACTACAACAAAGAAGACCCAAACTGTCTGTGGTAGAAAAAGAGAATTAAGACAGAAACTATTGCAGTAATTTTTAGGATGGATGAATTTTTAGTTCTGGAGAATTGTATGTTAACATTTCATTTTGCTAAAGAGAGGCTGCATACATCCTGTCTTGTGACATCATAATGAACATTCATCTTTATGTTAAGAATATCAAAATCATACTTTTGACTCTTCAAACGCTTTTATCAGCTTTTGAAAACCTGCTAGGGTCTCTGATCCTTGAGTGGCATTTTAGATACCTTGAGAATAGGTAGTATCACCACTTTCCACTCTTGGAAACAGCATAGTTGATTTTTTTTTTAAACTCCTTCCTGTCATTTTGTCCAGCATTTGAATTTGACTGGATGTGATAATTTCTCTGGCTTTAGCAAACAGTCATTTCAAGAATAAGTTTATTGCATAACTAATATTCAGAAGAACTAAATGGATTGTTTAAGAATTTTCAGCACGTTAGATTTTCCTTAAACACAGGGTATAAATATTTATTGCAAATAAAAGCAAAAGCTGTCAGAGTCTGAACCATGCTTTGGCTTTAAGAGTGTAGAGTAAGATGAGACTCTTCTCAATTGGCTAAAGTTTTAGGCAGTTAAACTCAGGCTTGTTCAGTGGTCAGAGTAGAGCAAAAAGAACTCACACAAGAGGTTCAGCCCACCTGCCTGAGACATCTCTCCTGAAGCAGGATCTCTGAAAACCTTACATGGTGGCAGCCTGCAAGACTGCTGCTTTTAGAGAGCTAAAGTTAGGTGAAGCAAGACTTCTGTTCCATAAGGCATCTTGACTTCCTTGCAAAAGACCCTTCCAGGTGACTTGAGACAAGTTGATTTAAATTGATAGACACCAAGTTCCTTGTTCTGATGTGCAGAAATTGCAGTATTTCCCCCAGTTGTGTGATATTGTTAAGGTCACTTAATTAAATTTCCAAAATTTTAGATGGATATTTTGTAGAGGCTTTACTTGATAACATTTTTAAAGCTTTTGTTTTGTACTTACAGAATCTGGTTCTTACAAGTGCAAGAACAGAAGGAAAGACTCAGTTGATGTTAAGTCAATAACATCTCAAAGTAGTGATGGTAAGGAAGCAAACTGTATGTACAATACTGTAAATATACACAAATATATATTTATAAATAAATAAAGAACAGACTTGGCTTGGGCAATAAAACTGCAGAACAAAAAAATAACCAGACAGATTCACTGCTGCTTAAACAGAGATTACTCCATTTTTTATAACTGCTGTAAAATTTCTTTCTGATGTGCAAAGTAGTGTCCCAGCATAAGTACCAGCGTTGCTATACAGTGCATGACAGTGCTGAATGCCTTCACAGGGAGGAGTGACTGTGCCAAGGGACAGAAGCAGCTTACTAAGAGTGTGTGGTGAAGCATTAATGCCACCTCTCTTAGAAAACTGCAGCTTGTGCTCCTAAACACGTATTACGGTTTATTCATGTTTAACATGAAGGAGCCTATTGCTGCTGGTTACTTGAGAGCAGTACTTCTGACCCCATTTGTGACTGCTTACTGGGTGGAACAATGGTGGCAGAGATTTCTTTCTGCCCCTGTGTGTAGCGAGAGAAGCACTGCTTGTGGGGAGCAGGAAAGGTTTTCATTAGAGCAACCGTACCACCAAGATGAGGGACACACAGACTTAAAGGAGAAGCCATGTCTGTGAGAGATCCATTGCATCAAAGAGCATGAAGTGTAAGTACAGCTCCATTCTGAAGTGAAGGATGGATGGAAAATCTGACAGCAAAAATAAGGGGTGGCTGCCAAGGAGGCAAACAGTACAAGAAATGAAACTATGTGGTACATTGAAAGAACTTGCAGGAGGAAAAACACAGGAGAAATGGAACACGAGGCTGTATTTCATTGTGCTATGCCCTGGCCTTCTGCACTCTTCAGATGCTGTCATCTGATTCACACTCTATGGCTCTTTAATGGCAGCTCCAAGTTTACAGACCCGACGCTACTCCTCAATGGCACGGATTCATTCTATGACAATAGAAGCTCCTATCACAAAGGTGAGTCCTGAGCACTGACTTTTCCACAAACTCCAGAGTTTCGAGTTGCACTCATAGGGAAGTATGTAGTTTCTGGACAGACAGAGGCTTCCTGCACTTTGTATTTAACAGAGTGATATAAGTAATTTTTTTTTGGCACTTTGGCACTTTCTACATCTCATCATGGCATTCCAAATGCTAGTCACAAGGAAGTATATTAAGAAGAGGAGGAGAGTGCCCTGCTACGTGCATGGCTTCTGGCAGGAAGGGGACACTGCTCTGTTGGGTCATGTGTGAGTAGGAGGATGTTCTTCCAGTCTCAACTTTGCTCTCACTATTGATATTTATAAGATACCCTGCAGAAGAGAGAGCATCTGCACCATCTTCTGTCTCCCCCAATTTCTGCAGCCTTTCTTCACTCTGCCACACAAATTCTGCTGTCACAAAACAGCTGCACAGTCACTTGTAACACACCAGGGTGTCAGGTATCTTCCACTTTCAAATAATTTTTTCCTCTCTCCCTATCTTTTCTTGCTATCATCAAGCTCTCACTTCCCAGCACCACTGTGACTGTAAGAACAGCTGGCTCCTTTACTTTTCCTTATCCTCAGTCATACCCGCAGGGAGGCTTGTAGTGGCTGTGCAGCAGCCTCTGGCTCCTGGAGAAGACAGCACTGGGACTTTCTTCCCATCATTCTTGGCAGAGCCAGGAGCAGTCACTGCTGCATTTCCAGATTGTGGCTGAGGAAAAGTATGGGTTTCAAAGAGCCATCCTCTTCTCCTACAGTCCAGTACCTTCTGCTCTCTGCCCTTGACTTCTACAAGGAGAATATCATGGTATAATATCAGCATATCTGAGTCACATCCAAGAGTTAGTTTGTTTGGATTTTCCTTCAGGGATTGAAATATTTGTTTCAGAGCAGACCTGGATATGCTGAAGTACCGGGACATTGCTGGTTTTTGGTCCACTCACTGGCAACTATTTCACACCGTTCTACTTCCGCTTCCCAGGAGTTTGCCAGTTAAAAATAGCAGACGGATACCAGGAAATCCGAGCACAAATTTACATCTTCAGAGTTGTACTTCAAGGGTTGTGGAGACTTACATTGCATTTGATGAGAATTAGCATAATCGAGACAAGAATAAAAATTTTGTAATAAGAAAAAGGTGCCATTCACTTTTCTTTGCCTGCCTCCTTAATCTGCCTTCAGGTCATTAACATAATTAACGCTGCCCAGGAAAACAGCCCGATCACAGTAGCAGAGGCATTGGACAGAGTTCTGGAAATCCTGCGAACAACAGAACTTTATTCCCCTCAGTTAGGTACCAAAGATGAAGATCCTCACACAAGTGATCTTGTTGGAGGTCTGATGAACGTGAGTAAAATTAGTAAAGACAAAACTGCTCGACCAGTGTCCTAGATCACAATTCACTGCTTTGCTCTGCTAAAATTTCCCAAGCAATGGGAAGGGGACTTGTAATTCATCACCATTTCAGTTAAGCATTTTGGCCTCTGTACTAGCAGTACTGCAGGATGTAGTAACCTATGGCCACATTTCAGTCCACTGTGCACATTCATCCTCAGATACCAGTGAACAGACTTGCCACCAGAAACTATATCCAATTTCTCAGAAGATACTGAAGGAGATACTTCATAGAAACTCTAGAAGCTTATATGGGATTAGAGAGATTGCTCTATAGTTAGTCCAGTGTATCAGTGAGGTTGATTCAGTCAAGCTCTAATTTTGGTCCTGCAACAGCTGCAAGAGACAAACTGTCAAAATTTTGTCATGGATTTACTCATTTTTAATAGACACTGAGCTAATCCCCACCAAAATAATATAAAGAAAATGAAAAATAAAATATAATCGCCAATTTGAATGATGGAGGTGCCAATGAGAGGGTCAAGGTGGGCAATACACTGTGTATTTAATATCTTTTCTGGAGATCTCATACCAGTGTTCCAGGGATCCTTTCATGTTTGTTTTGAAAGACCCTAAAACCAGGATTATGCTATAGTGCTGCAATAAGAGCATTGCTTTTAGTATCCAGGAATAGTATCTAAAATGCATGTAGTGTTTTTGAAACTAGTGATACAAAAAAACTAAGATAAACTTGCTTTCTTTTCCAGGATGGTTTGAGAAGACTGTCAGGAAATGAGTATGTGTTTTCTAAGAGTAAGCCACCATTTTAAACTTCCCTTTGCACGTGTGACTTCTTTTGTTAGTACCACTAACATACAGCTTCAGGCTAATTTGCAGTGGAATATATGTCTGTGGAAATGGCTGTCTAAATGACTGCAGCAGAAGTGCCAGGCTGCCTCAAATTTGGTGTTGAAACGGGCTCAAACAATTAAAATAATGCATTTCAAAATGTTAGCAAAAAACCAAATTGTCACTCAAAGAAATGTTCACTGATCTTTTTGGTTTATGTTCAAATGCTCTGTAATAAACCTTTCTATTATAGGCATTTACAGACTTTTTCATGTAAGGAAAAAAGTTGTTTTTCTTGAAAAAGAATTGCTTTCTAAATGGAATTCTGAGGAGGGGCTGTGGTAGTGTAGAGGGAATAACCCAGAAATGTGTTAATTCCCAAATTCCATTTCAACAGATATGAACCTGAGCCATACTCACCTTCCAGTGCCAAACACCATCAATGATGTTCCACCCTGTATTGCACAGCTCCTAGATAACGAGGAAAGTTGGGACTTCAATATTTTTGAGTTGGAGGCTGTTACAAATAAAAGGTATTGGACTCCTTTCCCTGGGTGCCCAGAGAAATTTTGTTGAGGAGCTGTAGCTCTGGAAAAACTGCAGCAAGACACAGCAAATCTGTGAGAGCTGTCTTGCTTGACACAGATCCACTCTGTCCCAGTGACACTGTTCAATGCAGTCTGATGTTGCCACATGCTGGATGCCCTCCAGATGGCCCTTTTTCTTGCTCATGTGCAAATGGTCCTGCTGGAAAAGCAAACCTCTCCCCTTCCTCACCTAAATCATCCCACAGTTTGGGAAGATCTAAGGCAACTGCAGCTTTTGATTATAGGGATAAAAAAATGGGATGGAGGATAAACCAGTGATAGGATCAACAGACTGGGATTTTAAAGCTTATAATGAAAACAGACGTCAGTAGTTTTGAGGTCATGCAGACCGCAAAAATAAGCACGTCATCCAGACAGAAAAGTTGCTTTCATTCCAAGATGCAAAGAATCAAACAGACTACCCGTTCTTATGTACTCTCTTTGCATAAAATAGCCATTTTAAAAATTTGCATTTGCCTGGTTTTAATCTGCAGATGTTGGGGTTTGGTTATGCCTTTCTCTGCTCACAGGCTCTGTAAGACATCTTGCAGGAGGGAAGAATGTAACTGATGGATAGGACTCTCTCACAGGCAACACAGAGTAAAAGACAACCCAGAGTGGATTTGGTTTTAAGAATCAAAAATATTAGAGGTTGTACTCTGTTTACTGTTTCACACTTGGGATTCCCAGCATTGTACACACACACCCACACCCACAGAGCACTTTACAATTGAAATTTGACCCTTTTTTTGGCTTAGGACTTCTTAGCCTTTGGCATGTGCTCATGTCATGCTCAGTCTGCTTTTTCTCCTCAGGAAAAAAAAAAAGGAATTTTGTTTGATTGACAGATACTAAACACACACAAAAAAAGGGTTTTAAGATGTTTTCTCTGAAGCCACAGGAATTCTTGAAACTGATGGAATTGTACAATTTCTACAAAACATTAAAATGACGTCTGAAAGGATGATAGATGCAATCACTTGTAACCTTGGCCCAGCTTTTTAGAGGTGATAGATATGCAACTTAAAAACTCAAACTTTACCCACCCCTTTTAAAAGTCTTGGTTTCTTTGTTCAATGTATCACTTTTAGAACATCACAAGTTCCTATTTTACAGCAGTGCTTTTTTCTTCTATTGTTTTTCAGGCCATTAGTGTATTTGGGCTTAAAAGTTTTTGCCCGGTTTGGGGTCTCTGAGTTTTTAAACTGTTCGGAAGCAACACTGCGGGCATGGCTGCAGGTCATTGAAGCCAACTACCATTCCTCCAACTCATACCACAACTCCACACATGCGGCAGATGTCCTGCATGCTACTGCCTTCTTTCTCGGGAAGGAGAGAGTTAAGGTAGAACCATCACCTAGGAGTTCTTTGGGTTAGGATTTCAGTGTGTTTGCCATTTTATGTGTGTCATCCAGAAGTCAGATGTTTAAATAATGGTCCTGGCTTCATAAACTCTCTCTGTCCTTGAAGTCTTCCTGTGATGCAAGCAGGCCCACACAGTTTCTCTGAAGTCTGTTTATACAAATTTACATTTTAAGTAGCAATGATGGAGGTGGGGAGGGAACCTGGCTCTTTTCTGTCTCATGTTAACTGGCTGTAGGTAACAGTTCTTACTAAAACTTCGCAAAAGCTTTGCAAAAGCTTTGGAGAGGGAGGTGTGAGTTATTCTTTGTGGTACTCAGCTATGGGACATGTGAGAAAGATTCAAAGCTGTGCCAAGGGAGGTTCAGAGTAGACATCAGGAAACATTTATTTACTAAGTGGTTAAATACTGGAACAGGCTTCGCAGAGAGGTGGCTGATGCCCCGCACCTGTCAATGCTTAAGCAGCGTTTGGACAATGGCCATAATAACATGCTTTAACTTTTGTTCAGTCCTGAAGTGGTCAGGCAGTTGGCCAATGATCATGTAGGTTACTTCCAAGTGAAACAGTCTACCCTATCCTGTGCTAAAACATAAGGTGTGTGAAGCAGAGTCAATAAAGAAACATTCAGGCAAGCATACGAAGTGGAAGGAAACCACTAGGTCATCTATCCATTGAAGAATTGTATGTGAAGATATTGCTCAGGTGACAGCAGTGTAAAAAGCTTCATTAAAGAAAGCATACGTGGATAAGGGTAGGAGCGGAAATTTTGTGGGAGGTAATCTGTGGGCACAGTGAATGGAAAATGACTGCAAGGAGGTAGCTTGCCTGCTTAAGTTTACATTTGTGTAATTGTGGGTACCTGGAAGTTATCAGAAAATATTTATTGTAATTTTTGTGCCACATTGTAATTTTTCTCTCTTCCTATAGGGAAGTCTGGACCATCTAGATGAGGTAGCTGCATTAATAGCTGCCACCATTCATGATGTAGACCATCCTGGACGGACCAACTCTTTCCTGTGCAATGCAGGCAGTGAATTAGCTGTCCTTTACAATGACACAGCTGTATTAGAGAGTCATCACACAGCACTGGCGTTTCAGCTTACAACAAAAGACAGCAAATACAACATTTTCAAGAATATTGATAGGTGTGTCTACTGGACAAGGGCAGTGTCCATGTGTGGACTGCTTATTTGGCAGTTTGGGGCAAATTGAGAGTCTACCTTCTAAACAGGAATGCATAGTTTAAATACAGATAATAAAATTTAACCTCTTCTGGAATCCTATATAGACATGATTTATAAAAAGGTTTTCATCTCCCCCTCACCAGCTCTGTCCTCCAACTTGTAATTATTGGAAGCTTAGAGAGATGTTTAATAATCTTTTATGAATTCCATTAACTTGGTCGAATTAACAGCCTCAAGGCTGCATCTTTGCTCACTGCCTTTTCATTGAAGGAGCCTGGGCACTACTTTTTTGGGATATGTTTTACACAACAGCATCTGGATGCTGCATGTTATGTCTGCACAAAGTCCTATGCATCCCAGCACTACTGCATTCATGTGGAATTGAAAGGGTGGTAGCAGAGGACATGAAACTCTGGGAGAGCTGGAAGCTCCCTGTGGTTGGCTGGGCATGCAAGTAGCCCAGGTGTTCCCACTGCATGACTCCAGCTTTTGTAGGGACAAGGTGAGAGAGAAAGAGCTCTGAAAGGGAAAGAGCCTGACCCCAAAGAGATAATTAAAAAACCTGAGATTTGTATTCCAAGCTAACACTAACATACAGCGGAACATACATGGACACATTGGTGCCATTCCTGGAGAAGTTATCTTAGTCTTAGAGCATTATGAAACTGAGATGTAAATTGTTGCTGATTTCTCAGGATTTTCATTAGGTAAAAATAACAGAGCAGGGGGGAACTTGGAGAGGCATGATCTTGTACATTCCTCCATCCTTAGACTGTTCCTAACTCTGAAGGCTGTGGCTGAGTCCCTGAGCAGTGTTTTGTAGCAACATGTGGGTAGGGATGAGGAAAGGGCAGAGTTCTGTCTGGCAAGCTCATGAGCAAGAACTCTTTTTCTTTCCTAGAAATCGCTACCGGACATTGCGACAGGCCATTATTGATATGGTTTTGGCAACAGAGATGACAAAGCACTTTGAGCATGTGAACAAATTTGTGAACAGTATCAACAAGCCTATGGCATCTGAGGAGACCAGCCCATATGTAAGTGCTTGCAGGACTTTATGCCTTCAGGCATTTCAGTGAGGTTCTTTCCAGACAACCTTAAGCATCATTTTCATTCACTTTGCATTAATTTGCATTATGGCAATGCCCAAATGACAAAAATGGATTTGTGGCCTCACACAGCAGTGTGAAAAAATATGCTTTTTCTCTTTTCTGCTCTTAGTTCATTTAAACACTTCATTTTATAAGCCTTGTGTTAAAAGCTATCTTGAATTCAGGAAATATATGAGTGGATGTTATTTTACATGGAAAATTCTGTGCACGGAGCCAGGTTGGCACCTGTTCCTATGGTCCTGTCTCCAAACAGTGGGATTTTTCTGAGCCCAGGGTGATAACTGAAGAACCTTCTCGACAGTTTTGTCTCTATGTAATCTGCCCCGAGGAATAACTTCCTGAGACCTCGGCACTCACCAAGAGATGTCCAGGCCTTTTTGCATAACAGTTACAACTCTCATGCTCCACCAGGGTTTATTTAATAAGCTGTCTCTGAGTTTCCCATCCCCTCCTTACCTTCTCTTGCCCCGTCTCGAGGCTGAGCACCCAAGACCTGACCAGGTTCTCCAGGGCACCTGGAGAAAGACTATCTGAGGAAACTATCTGTTACCTGAGGAAAGACTGTCTTAATGCACCTTAGTGAATATAATGCTTTGTTGGACACATGAAAAAAAAAATCAGACAAAACTGAAGGTCAGCAATGCTAAAACCAAATAGAAATATCTTCTGTTAGCTATCCAAAATAGGACTTTGTACTGTAGACTGTCGTGGGTACCATTTACAACTTTTAAGACAGCATTCTGTCATCAGAAATTACCTGCTTCTAAGGACTGCTGAGCTCCACTCTCCCACAATATGAGCTAGAAACCACAAATGCTGCTGAACTGATCTCACAATAAACATGAAGGACAGAACTACTTGCACCACAGACTTCTTCTTTTCCCTCAGTATTAGGTTGTTCTGTTCTTTACTGTTAGCCGTGGCTCTTTCTGGTTTTGGTCTTGAACTGCAGTTAAGGTTAACTTGACAGCTCTTTGCTGGGCTACCCATGCTGAAAAAGGATTAACTGCTAAACATAAAGTTAGAAGATTAATGCCTGAATTGCAAAAGTCACAGCAAAATAGTTCCCCACAAGCCACAAATATATTTAGTTGTGGTGGCAAAAAGTACTTACATTCAGTTTCTGACTCAATAGTTGAATTTAGCAGTGGAGGGAGGCCAAAATCCCACAAATATATTATTTTGAGAATAGCATTAATGCCATGTGAGCAGAGGTGGAGGCCTTTCATTACTCCATAATTTACCTGTGCCTTCTAAACTGCTCAAGATCCAGAATATGATGCCATAGCAGACTGGGAACAATACCTTATCGCCACCACCTGGTCTCCAGTTTGGTATTTTACTGTCTAGCAAGCAGAGAATTTCTGCAGTCAATCTGCTGCTCCTGTGATTTCCTACTGCTAATCTCATAGATTATGTAATATTTCACCCTCACCAGGAACTGAGATCAAAGATTATTCCAGGTTGAAGTTCAAAATCTGAGACAAAGAAAGCCGTTCCACTTGGAAACATTCTGGAACTGAATGTCAGAGACCTGCTTTTCTGTGTGTAAAAGAAATAGTTGTGCCAGTCAATTCAGCCCCATCTCTGCCTCAGTTTTCTCATTTAGGAATAAAAATCTAACTCCAGAAACTCTCCTAAGTGAAGCAGTCCCCTACCATCACCATCCCTGCATTTAAACATTCAGAAGTGAGGATTGTTTGTGAGCTTACAGTTGGTGAATGCATCCCCTCTCATGAGATGCATCCTCTATCAAGGGATTCATCCCCAAGAGGACCAGGCTGGGATGCAGAGAAGGTAACATCCTACCTGATAAAGAGCCTGTGGCACTTTATTTCACAAACTTTGATACTAATTTTAAGAATGACCACAACTGTAATATGTATTTGGATTAACATTACTTACTTAGCAAGGCACCAGTTCTCAGACATCACCTTCTTCTCCGTGTTCTTGGTGCTCTGCATGAAACTGTAAGGCAGTAGACTGGGTGCCTGCTTAGTGCCTAAGTCTGGCAGAGCTGATAATGATGCCGTCGGTCCTACAGGGATGACCCCTGTAACCAACTCTCCTTTACAGAATGATGGCAGCAACACTGAATGCACAACCAACATAAAGAATTTTCCAGACAACCAGACACTGATCAAGCGCATGATGATTAAATGTGCAGATGTAGCAAATCCATGTCGCCCCCTAGAGCTATGTATTGAATGGGCAGGTAGGATTTCAGAGGAGTACTTTGCACAGGTATGTATATTTTTATGACTTAACTATTACATTATATAAAGAAGTGCACATTGGCTGATCTGCTGTTCGACATAGGGTCTGCCTATAGTGTCACCACAGAGTCCAGATATATGTTTTTTGTTTGCAGTCTGAACTGGCCCCTCAATTTCATCCAGAAGAATTCACTCCAAGCAGTTGGCTAGTTTGCTTATCATGAAGCTTGTTGTCCAGACGGGTGGAAAGGTTTTACACTTTCATTAGTCCTACTCAAGTCAACTGGCTGAAATTCAAGATGGTCAGCACTCTAGCTTCCTGTTCCAATACCTTCCCTCAGATCTATGCCTCAGCTGAACTACTGGGATTGCCCTTTCTCTTCTAAGATGGAACCTCAACTACTATCACTGTAGGCAAAAAAGTAGTGCAGGCATGTGGGCAGTGTAAATACTTACCACATGGGATGTGTCCAGACAGTACTGGAAGCTCAGCTTTCCTTCTTCACATTCAGTTTTTCTGCCAGAAATGCAACCAGCTTCCTCTTTAATTAACAACCGATAAAATCTTAGCTTTTATTTCCCAGTAATGGTGTGGAAATAACAGCTATAAGTGGAGAGAAAGAAAAGTGGGCATGCCTACACTTCATATTCACACGTGACAGTTACTCCTGAAAGAAAATTGTAGCTACTATCTGAAACATGTCTGAATTTCATTTTAATCATAGTGAATAAATTTTGCCATGTCCAAAGAAAAATCAAAGATCACTTGCGTTGTATCTCCCTAGCAGTCAAGGTATCCTAAATGAGCTTTAAATTGCCCAAATTAAGCACTAGCCTGTTTGCAGCAATGTGAGATTCAGAGCTGTTCTCCTGTTTATTCACCTCTGCTAATTTTGGAGACTGTTCTGCTGCCAATTCCTGTTTTAAATGTTGCCTGTGCTACTTAGAAGGGAATGTGTTTCCAAATTACATTCTAAGAAACTGCTGAGGTGATTTTCTTGCACCACAGTGGGTGCAAGAAAACCAGGCCTCTTCCAGTTGGGGACAGAGTTAAAGGGCTTACCTACACTTTCATTCACCTGATAACCTGATACAAGCAGAGGAAGTAGCACCAGCAACAGTCTCTTCTCACTTAAAAGACAAATGGTTTGTAACACCCACTACAGATGTGGAAAAATGAGGGATCAAACCTGTTCTCTGCTAAAGGACTCTACAGCGGCATTTTCCATATTTTTAGCTGGTGTACCCTAATCACTGGATTACAGCAGTTTGTCCTGCTGGAGCTAAGTGCAATCACAGGACTGCAGTAATGAAGAGTACTTGTGAAAGGGAAGAGATGTTGATTTCAGTTCCTGTTCCAGACAAAATAACACACATGAAACTAAAGTTCTAAGGCTTGTCTCAAATCTCCTATTGCAATTAATCTAATGCCTTGACCTCTGCTATTCCAGCACGGAAGTCAGCAAAGCTCTAGTTGCTAACAGGAGTTTTGTCTTCTTAGACTGATGAAGAGAAGAGACAGGGCCTGCCTGTTGTAATGCCAGTATTTGACAGAAATACCTGCAGCATCCCCAAGTCCCAGATTTCCTTCATTGATTATTTTATAACAGATATGTTCGATGCATGGGATGGTAAGTACTGATTTTTCTTCCTTCCTCTGACACAGAGATTCAGAGATTCTTACAGTCCAAAATTACTAATATCAAGGTGGCCTTGCATCCACTTTTTTCAGAGACTGTACCCATATATAAGCAGTACAACACAAGATATTGTGCAGTCATGACACTGAAGTCTGTTTCACTGCACACAATAAAGCTGTGCACTTACCAGGCAATCTATGTAGAGAAGTAGTAATGGCTTATAACTAAGCTTTTTCTTTCATCTATGTGTTTTTTTCCTTTGGCACTGTATTTCTTCTGAGCTGCAGAATCTAAGACCACCAATGGCTGCATGTTAGCACAATTTAATGAAGTCAACATGCATTTGGAAAGGGATTTTCTTGAAAGAGAATCACACACACATACACACAAAAATCTTTCCCCTTTTAGTATTACTTTAAGGAATTGGAAGAACAAAAGAGAGTAGGAGAATGCCAATTTCAGATCAGGCTGGGCTGTTCTTCTGCTCATTCTATAAACATGGTAAAACTCTTTTTCCTGTTCTTTCAGCATTTGCACATCTGCCAGTTTTGATGCAACACTTGGCTAATAACTACAAACACTGGAAAACACTGGATGATTTGAAGTGCAAGAGTCTCCGGCTCCCATCAGAAAACAACAACTGATACTCAGTCAAGAAAACCAGACCTCTTGCTCTACCAGTTTCACTGTGAATCACTTACAGAAACTCTTGGCTACAAAGGGGATTAATGTTGCTTTTCCAGTGAAATTAAGACTGCATGACAAGAAGGAAATATTTTACTCATTTTTAAGCTTCTATTAATTCTACAGAAAAATGTTTTTAGAGGCTATATTAACCACAGATGACTAAGTGCTCTTCAGAAATAATATTTTGTGGCACAAAATGTACTTCTAAAACTAGTTTCTAATACTGAATATGCACTTGTTGAATCTTGTAGTTGATACAACTGTATTCACTAACACTTTACACAACTGTTTTTCAGAGAGAGGGGTAATCTAGTCACCAAGAGAATAAGCCTAACAAAGAATAGCCTAACAAATAAGGACAGAAACTTCCCACTTATTTAGCATAAATTTGTTCCAATTCTGTCAATGTTCTTCAGCTCTAGGAACCATACTTCTAAAGAGAACATGCACAGCAAAACAAGTAAATTTTAATAAATCGGATACATAAAAAACCCAAACATGACACCTTTTAAAACACCTTCTTATTACAGAGACTCTCTCACAGCACCACCTGTTCTTTCTTTTCTATATAAAATCTTGGTAGGAGTCAATATTCTCTAAAATTGATCATATAATACAGGAAAGTAAGCATGCTCTGTCTAGGTAGTGCCATCCACATGGTTCTCTGCCATCTTGCAGATGTTATCACAAAAGTTTTCATCAAATTTTACACAAAGAACTATTGTGGCACTTGATCACCATACTTTTTTATAAAAATGGTGTTTGTAAACACGGTCATCAATTTATTAAACTGATCTAAATTTTATGTCAAGTTCATTTATTGTACTACTTTTAGGATGAACCTATCACTTTTTAAAACAACTTTCCAGGCTATAATTTATAAAAACATTATAATTTGTACTGCTTTATCCTCCTAATAAAATGCTGATTGGTTTTGTGATGTAAGAAATATGTCTATCAGTTGGAAATCAAACATAGTTCTTCATTAGTTCCAAGATAAGAAATTTATGCTAAGACTTCCAAAGCCCAAATGTGTATTTTTGTACATCTCATTTTAATCACATGCAGAACATGAGTTTAAATTTTAGACTATTCTCAGACTATTTAGTAAATAAGTACTAGCAGAACTGCTGATTTTTAACACTGTGCACTCCAGGCTGCAAGCAAGACTGTCAAAGCTGTGGCTGCAGTTAAAGAAGCAGTCCACCTACCCTGTGCTGTATCAAAAATCAAACTGGGTAAAGGAAAAGGGGAAAAAAAGCAAACAGCATAGATTGCTATGGAAGAATAGTGACAATGCTGTTTACTGCAGGTAGCTTACATATGTGCCAACCTTTTTTGTATGTTTTGTACCAAGTTCTGAAACAAAAGGCAACATTCATAAAATGTATGTGCAGAAGAATGTATAGAGGCTATATTTTTGTTAGAATTGTAACAGATCCTTACTTTTGTCACAGCCAAGGCAGGTTCCTGTGTATCAAAATGCCGCATCGTATATATTTCAAGAATGGTGTTTCTGGTGAAGCATGGTTATACATTCTTTCCTGTTATCTATGGCAACATTCTTCAGTGGATTTTTATTCAGAGAAGTTGAACCTCTTTTTTAATACTGTATACTGTTTGCTTTTACCATTTCTTTATTTAGAACTAGTGCTCTTAGTGGTTGTACCTTAACTATTCTGAACATTCAGTGCAGCTTGCATCAGAAGAAAGAATTTCCCAAGATTTAAGCTTTGTTAATTTAATCTGTTAAATATAGCAACATTGTAAGACCATATCCATGTAAAACATTTAATTCATAATTTTTGTCACACTTCTGTCACACAGAACAAAATGTCAACAGTGGAAGGCATCAAAAAAAATAAAGTTCTACTTGTGAACCAGAACTGAGGCGAAGGCATTAATACAGAATCAATATATTTGTTGCAGGATCTTGTGTTTCTTCCCACAGTCAGATAAAAGAAAAAAAATTAAAAAAAAAAAGAAAAGAAAAAAACTGGGTGGATATAGGTCCTCTTTAATAGTAAAACAAATCAGCACAGATTAATCGTAATCTGCCAGTTGTGTCAGATCTCCTAGACTAGTCCAGTTCACTAACAGCTGCCTGTTTCATGCTGTTGTCAGTGCACAGATGTAAAAACAGCCACCTCACAGTTGTAAAAGTATTAAGAGTAGGTCAGACAAAGATATTTGCTTCCATGACATGAACATATGGAATTCAGTGTTACTGCAAGGTGGAAAAATATTTAGGACATCAGTTAGATGTAAAATTCTCATCAGGTCAGCATAATTCTGCTCACTGCATCTCCCAACAGCAAGTGACAACCTCATTTATTCTCTTGTTACACTCAAAGTTCATTTGTAAAACAAAGAACTGAGTACTTTTAAGTCAACCATCTTTAAAAGAAGAGACCCTTGGGAGATCTCCTGCCACTGGAGTGTATCTGAGAACAATGGCACTTTCGATAAATATAAATATTTACACCTACATGTAGGACTATTTAAAGCTGAATTACATCCCTGTAAAATGCACAGCGAGTTTTGTGACTAGAACTGTACAGTTGAAAAGGTCTGTTTCTCTACCAGGTATTCACTTAACAGCAGTCAAATAAAAAGGAAATAGCTGTTCTCATGCTAGAAGAAGACATTATAAAAATATGACCTTCCTTCTCTGTAGTTATAATTGATGGTAACAGGGACTCTCCAAAAAATCTGTTTCATAAGCTTTCACTGTAAAGGTGTCATAACAGTGTGTACACACAAGCACTACATACAACCAAATAGTTATTTTGCAATTAAAACAACAAAAAAGATCCAAAGAGACATTTTATCTCCCAGCTTCTCCTGGGTAAGCCAAAAATGCATCATCTGCTGAAGAAGACAAGCTGGAGCAATGTAAACTTAACATGCTTTCCTCTCTCAAGTTTAATACCATATACCCAAAGGAATGTTATCCTCAGCTGTAATCCAAATGCCTTTCCTACATGAGTCAGCAGAATAGCCAGCCTTAGCAAAGAACATGCAGCTCAAACTTTAACACAATTCAGGATTTAACCTCCCTGAATTGAAAGGAGATGGTAATTTAACAATTCTTCCATCTGTTTTGTGGTTTTGAAATATGTAATTTTGAGGTCTATACTGAAGTAAGATTAGCTGTACAACCTGACTAAGGTCAGGAAAAATTACAACTCAAAATCTTGCTGCCCCTCTGCCCTGCATTCCAGAGATTAGAGTCTCACAATAAGATTCAAGAGGCAAAAGTGGGCTTCTGAGTGGCAGGAGGAAGGAAAGTGCCCACTGCTGCTCAGGGAAGCAAGTCTAAAAGCCTCTGATTTCTCCTAGGAAGCTAGGAGCTTTCTCCTTTTGCTCTTGCAAGAATCTGCTTAGCCCTTTGTCTTAATCACACTTACTGCAACCACTGTATCTGAGGTCTGGAATTACAGCCACATAGTTTCCTGTACTGAAAACAATTCTCAGTGATTCAAAGGGAAGAGATGGCACTGAAAAGTTGCACAAGACTTATTCCCACACCATTTAAGTGCTGTATCTCCTGAGTAGACCTGAGGATAGTAGCATCATCTTCTACATAGTTTTATGACCACTAAGTTCCCAAACTTTCCCTTTTCCCTAGCTCTTCTCTGTTCAAATGGTAATGTACCACTCATTATCTTGTCCTTCCTCATGCTGTCTTAGTATCAGTTCTGGGTTTAACTGTTTCATTTTTCAGTTTGTTTTTTTTTTGCTGTTGTTGGCGGGGAGGGGGGAGAGGGGATTATTTACTTGCTTGTGTGTTGATTCCATTTTTTGCTTTTGTGTTTTTGTTGCTGTGGTTTGAGCTTTGTTTTAGTTTGCATTTCTTTCCCTACTCCTGTTTAGCTATTGTTAGCACAGACTCTTAGTATCTTAGTATCTGTGCACTGAGCTACTTATTTTTTTTAACCCTGAAATACTATTTACCTTACAAACTTGGTGCAGGTTTCTCTGCAGTCAGACTTCAGCTGAGAATTTAGTATTCATATGGCAAAACACAGTTTCACTACTATTGAAATATCAACTCCTACTGCTTAAGAAAGGATTCTGAAAATTCATGGCAAGGCAAATGCTTTTTATTAGATACAATTCAATTTGATGAACGCACTATGGAAAGACTAAGCTAAACTAATCACACTGCATGCTAAACTTGGTAATGGTGTAATGGTAATGCTGTATAAAGTCCAGTAATGTAGGCTTACCCAAGTGAAACTTCAGCTACTACTAGTAAACAGTTTCTGTGTACCTCAGTTTGCCAAAAATTAGAACCTGACAAACTGGCATTACCTACCTTTTTTTTTCCTTACCACTGATGCAGGATATTAACTTAAAGTGCAAAATTTCTATTTAAGAATGCTTTCTTTCAGGGCTTTCTGTATACACACAAATCTGAGCCATCAGTGAGGAAAGTTCAGCTTATAGAAATAAATTGGAGCAGGAAGCTTCAGATTTCTTCCCGTGCCTTCTTCCTGCACTAGCCTTCTTCCTGCGTAGCACTGTGGATGCCCTCAACTGCTTTAATTATGATCCATCTACTGTATTTCACAATTCTTAATTTTGACATTCACTCATGATAATTTTAAACATTTGGAATAATACTAGAAACTATTTAATGAGTCATTACTACCTTCAGTCTTTCAAGAGAACACCATTTCTGCTGACAGAGAGTAACAAAATGCAAAATCCCCCTTTGAGAAGAGTAGCAACTAAGAGAAGTTCCAATATAACACATGACATTAAGTGTAAGCTCTACTAGAAGTCAGACTCCCAGATTCTTTACACTCATATTTAAAACACATCCAGTTTACATATATACAGCCTATATTCAAACAATTTAAAGTTTGAGCTGCAAATCACCATTCTGTGCCAATTTTTTAAATAGTGTTAAACTGCGGAGGCTAGATTCTCGTTCACCATCCTTCCACAAAATAATGAGGTGGTCAGCAGAGCATGTAGCCAATCCCAGTTCACCAAAGTACAGGAACATCTGCAATGAAACAACTATTATTACCATGATGCTTGCATGAGATGGTCAACTTGCTTAATTATTTTGTGTATAGCTGGACTAAACAAATATATGTATCTGATATGGCTCTGCTTATAAACAGGAATACAAAATGACATACTGTATGTTAGAGATGCCATAAAATTGCTATACAGAAACAAATCCTTTAGTCACTTCATACTGAAAGATCTCCGTCTAAAAAAGCAGTGATAAGTAACTTAACTTACAGATAGGTAAGTTAAAGGACAGAATTCTGAAGAAACTTGTTTTAAGTCAGCAGTAGAAGAGTGAACAACTTGCACAAACTCTGATCTGGGTTCTTGGGAACAGAAGTGTTGTGTTCACTAGGTACACTGTCCCCCCTCCCCCCTACAACACAGTAGAGTTAGCAGCAGGCCTGGAAAGATCAAAGGACAAACAGCTGTGACAGACACATGCCTAGTCACACAGAGGAAGTTAAACAAGCAAGAAACATAATACTGGAGGGAAGTACAGCACCAGGGGAAGGATTTTGCAAGACCAATGGAGCTGACAAATCATGAATTAACCCCTGACTTCTGAGATCATCACAAGACTGCCTAAGATTAACCACTAACTGCAGTCCAACATGACAGCCAATGGAACCTGTGATGTCACTATGGCATACTCGCAATGCCCTAATTCTTCAGTTTGTTAAAGGGATCTGTCTAGGGGAAGCATTCAGGCCAAAGCCTACCTGCCCTGGGAATGCTCACTTAATAGCTACAGGGTTCCAGTAGACATAGTCTCCCAAGTCCTCATCTTGGCCGTCACATTTCATCACTACTCGACATTTTCTTCCTCAACAGCTCCCATATTCCCAGAGTTTAAAAAATCCCAAAATTTTCCATATGTAGAACACTGCAGGAAATCACATCCACCATCATCTCCATTACTTCTTTGCTCTGCATCTCAGCCAAGACCCAATGTATGCCTCTCACCTTCTTTGTTTTTCTTGCTGAATTACACACTAATGTCCCCTTGCTTAGAGAGCAACCTTCCAAGTGGTTAAGACCCCCCTCCAACAGTTTTTCAAAAGAAAGATGGCAGAAAGGGAAAGAGAGTCTTGAAGAAATCCCTTTAGCAGAAAGGTTCACCTTAGCTATTAAAGACCAGCTTTCAGGTTTTAGCAGCAGCAGTCTGAAATCCAGTCTGCCCCATGAATGCCTGTGAGCAAAGCTACTCCAGAACCACGCTATCCCCTTCTGGCTGCCCTTCTCCCTGCTCCTGCCAAGAACGTATGTAAAAATCCACTGTAACGAAGTGCTTTGTTACTCCAATACCTTGTGACAGAAAAGTGTGGAGGGAAAATGCCATTTAAAATGAACACCTGCTATTTTAGGCAGACAGAAGCATGGAACAATACTGGTAGTACTGCTTAAGTTAAAAGACCTCCTTAATGCTCACAGCATGGAGGGTTAAGAAATAACTCTGTGTGTTTTGGTTTCAGTTTTTTTTGTAGGAGTCCTTCTTTAGATTGTGAACTTAGATGAAATGTGGGTCATGTACACGTTCCCAGCTGTATTGTCTGCAGTCTCTAAATGAAGCCAAATACTCTGTCAGATTATCTCTAGCATTTATGTGCAAACACAGTCCTCAGGCATCAGTGAGCAAGTTGTCATTAGAATATTAAGTCAGTGTGTATACTGTTTTCACACTGCACTAAAGATACCACAAAATGTGTTCCTAGCCTCTAGAGCCAGACAGTTAAAAGTTACAGCTCAAAAAACACTGTCAAATTTATGTTACTTACTAACACTCACTTTTTCTCATTCTTACTAATGCTGACCTACCTGCACAGCTGATGAATGACCAATCAAATCACCAACCAGCTCCAAGAAATACACAGGTGTATTCTCCTGCATCTTCTTAGCAGCTTGGTTTGCCTGCTTGTTTGTCCTTCCAAATCCCCACATGTTGAAAAACCCTGAGAGGGGAAAAAAAATCTCTTATTTTGACAAAAATCACAAATATAAATTATTTCTTCTAGCTAAAGAGAGAACTACAAAAGCCACATAAAATCTAAAAGCAGGACACTCTGCATGGCAAAGACAGAAGCACTGTACTGTGCAGCTCTTTAGCATCTGGATTATTCATCTTGAGGGAAGAAGGAAATATAGCTACTTGTGCCACAATGTAATTTAGAAAACATGCTGAATTACACACTTGGATGAGACAATATACAGATTTAGGAACAAATACAAAGACTTCCTAAAAGAATGAACTGAACAGCAAAGGTACATGCAGGACAAGTTTATGCAGGTGTTTATCTTTGCTCAGCCCACCTAAATTGTTACTTGTGCAAAGAGCACAAAAATGAGGCACCAATCTCTCCTCTGTATGCTCTGCACTACAGCATCTAAGTGCTGGCTCATTGCCTCCTTCCTTCAGCAAAAACTATCAGCAAATGTGGAGTGTAAAGATAGTACTTCACATGTTCCATTTAGATTGCACAAAAGTACACAGCCACAGCACCCAGAACCGTGTAACAGTATTGACACAAGTAAGAAGGTTGGGTTCTGTTGACAACGCAGTTCAGACTTTATTCCCAATTCTTCCCTCAGTCCTATCAGCACATAAAACTAGAATTGTGCTAAATCATGGCCCTGGTTCAAGGGAGATAACTGGTGAGGTGAACAGCTTCTTAGGGGATCCCTAAAATAAAAAGAGTGCAAATCAACAGCAATATCTCCCTAAGGTTTTTTCCAAACATCTTAATTCGCTGAAGTTATAAATTTATAATGTGAAGCCAAACACCACTTGTCACTGCATAGATCAACCTGTCACCAGCAATGCTGAAGATGGAATATTCCTGAAAAAGTGTTTCTAAATCAACCTAGGCAGCAAAAATACATTTTCAAAAGTTACCAACAAGAGATGAATAGCTAGGTAAACAAGATACACCAGGAAAATTATTCACATCTTGAATAAAAAATTCCTACAGAAGAGCAATAGTGTTGCTGTTCCCAGTCCTTGACATGAACTATACTGTCCAGAGCACCTGTCAAAGGTCCCAACTGCCAGTGTGCAAGGGAGCTTGGCCAAAGAGTAGCAAGTACTACAAAGGAACTGTCATTACTCAAGCATAAGCAGGAAATACACAGGAGATGGAAGCAGGGTCAGGCCAGCTGAAAATACAGAGAGGCTGTAAGAGTAAGTAAAAATGAGACAAGGAAGGCCAAGACCCATCTGGAATTAAAACTGGCCAAGGGTGTCAAAGACAACAAGAAGGGCTTCTTCAAATACATCAAGAACAAAATGAAAACTAAGGATAATGTAGGGCTGTTCCTAAATGGAGGGAGGGACCCTGCAGGCCAGAATGCAGAGAAGTCAGGTACTTCGCTTCAGTCTTCAGTGACAAGACCAGCCCTCAGCATTCTCTGACCCAGGAGACCAGGGTAAAGGAATGTTGGAAGGAAGCCTTTCCCTTTGTCAAGGAGGATTAGGTTAGAAGCCATCTAGGCAAGCCTGACATTTCCAAGTCCATGAGCCCTGAGTGGATGCATCCACAAGTGCTCAGAGAGCTGGTGGACACCACTGCAAGGCTCCTCATGATCATCTTTAAAAGGTCGTGGAGATCAGGAGAGGTGCTGAAGACTGGAAGAAAGCAAATGGCACCCTGGTCTTCAAAAGAGAAACTACCAGCTGGTCAGCCTCACCTCAATCCCTGGGAAAGTGATGGAGCACTTAATTCTGGAGACCATCTCTATCTACCTGGATGACAAGATGGTGATCAGGAACAGGCAGCACAGGTTCAACAAAGGTAAGCCATGTTTGACTGACCTATTTGCCTTCGACAATGAAACAATTACTTGGATGGATGAGGGGAAAGTAGTGGATACTGTCTACTTGACTTCAGCAGGGATTACAACACTGTCTCCCAGAACATCCTCATAGACAAACTCAGGGATGTGGGCTGGATAAGTAGACAGTGAGGTGGATCAAGAACTGGCTGAACAACAGATCCCAGTGGCTCAAAATCAGTGGCACAGTTGGAGCCCTGTCACTGGCAGAGTCCTGCAAGGTTTAATACTGGGCCCAGAACTGTTTAACTTGTCCATTCTTGACTTGTAAAAGGTGGAATGTGTCTCCTCAGCAAATTCACTGAGAACACAACGCTGGGAGGAATGGCCAATGCTCTGGAGTGCTGTGCAGCCCTTCAGAAGGACCTCGGCAGGTTGGAGAGATGGGCAGAGAAGAACCGTCTGAAAGTCGACAAAGGCAAATGAAGGGTCCTGCACCTGGGGAGGAACAGCCTCAGGCACCTGGGGCTGATCTGCTGGGGAGCAGCTCTGTGGAAAAGAACCTGGGGGTCCCTGTGGAGAAGAACCTGGTAGACAAGAAGCTGTCCATGAGCCAGCAGTGTGTCCTTGTGACCAAGAATGCCAGTGGTATCCTGGGGGGCATTAGGAAGAGCATTGCCAGCAGGTCATGGGAGGTGATCCTGCCCCTGTACTCAGCCCTAGCAAGGTCTCCCCAGGAGCACTGTGTCCAGTTCTGGACTTCTCAGGACAAGCAAGCTGGTCAAGCAGAAGGCTGTAAAAATAATGAGAGGACTGGAGCATCTGGATAGGCTGAGGACACTGAGCCTGATCAGCCTTGAGAGGGGACCTCATCAATGCCTATCAATATCTGAAGAGAGGTATTAAGACAATGGACCAGGCTCTTCTCAGAGGTGCTGAGTAGTAGGAGAAGAGGCAATTGGCAGACACTGATGCACAGGAAGTTCCACCTGAATAAGAGGAAGAACTCCTTTACTCCTTTACAATGTTCAGTGTGAGTGACTGAACATTGGAACAGGTTGCCCAGAGGTTGTGGAGTCTCCCTCACTGGAAATACTCTAAAACCATCTGGACACAATCCTCTGCCATGTGTTCCAGGATCACCCTGTTTGAGTAGGGGGGCTGGACCACATGACTCACTGTAGAACCTTTCAACCTTACCCATTCTGTGATTCTGTGAATGTCTTTACTTGGGGAAAATGCTCCCTGTAACACAATCAACTAGCTCTGAGGACTGCAGTGCCCAGAGGCAGTATGTGAGTTTGGATACAGCTCCAAACTGTAAGTCCCAATATAATTCTAAGTTCAAAGAGGAGATGTGGAAAACACCTTTTTTTTTGCTGCCAGCTGCTTATCTGCAAGCTTTCATCACAAGGTCCTTACTCTCGTACGGTATAGAATTCAATACTGTTTGGTACAAGGAAGAAAGGATCAAGGTTTGTCAGGTCTTTTTTTTTTTTTAACTGGTTCATACAACTGTAAACTGTAAGTAAGCCTTATGGCACAGAATTGCTTCAGCTGGATCTTCTATCATCCCATATCAGATCTTGGAGTACCTGAACTCATACTCTCTTCAGCTTCCCTCCCACACCTGTAATCATCTGGTTAAACACAAGACATTATCACTCTTTACAAAGCCCGAAAGCCTCTCTATTCCTATATGTTGAATACTGAGTTTTTAAATGTTCCTTTCACTCCCCACTACTAGCAAACCTGTCGGAACTGGTTCAGCTGGCAGCTGCTGCTTTTCTCTGAGTTCCCAAATGCGCACACTGCCATCTTCTGAACAGGAGATCAGCTGCCTGTAAAAACAGTTGATAAGCAACACTAGCATGGATACTTACCTGTGCAAATCACCTTATGATGCCTCTATGAAAGAGACAGTAAGTCCCTCAGGTTCTATACAAGTTTACTATAACTCTTAAATGTAGCAGGGTGTACAGACGCTCCACAGAAAACAAAATTCATTAGTAGCAGAACAAAGTATAACAGATATTTAGAATAAGTGGAAAAAAATAAACCTTTTCAACTTCATATTGAAATCATACCACTATGTAAACCAAAACACAACCAGTCTAGACTCTGCAAACACAGTTCCTCTAACTTGTTTCTGTAAGTTTACTTTCATTAAGCAAAACCCTACTTTTCTTACAGAAAAATAATGAAAGGAAAGGTACTCTGTTTCATTACACATTTAGAACAGCTTAGCATACATGCAGTTACAAGACCAAGGCCTCAGTTTTTATCTTCTGGCAGAATTTGCCCCATTGAACAAGAACATAACGGGATCTAGTACTATTATCTATGGTATATTACAGCATATACATATATATGCAGCAACTTGTCCAAGTTGGCTGCCAAAAGTTCCAGCTAGAAATTCTGCATTAAGAAACACAAATGGCAAGTTTATTAATTTTTGTAAAAACACTTCAAGTGTTATAAAATATTTAATGAAAAATATATGCTATATGCCTTTGCTTTCTATTAGTAAAATGCCATTAAGCTACATTTTCACAATACAAACAAAAGTGCTTCATCAAACCTGATTTTGAAAATAGCTGAGGTATTTTCAACCTGTGTACCAGTCATACTGGAAATATAGGTTTTCCCACTGAATTACTATAACAAATTTTGCAAAATCAGATAACAAGCTCTACCTAATAAAAGCAGCTCAAACTGAAAATCAAGTCCCTGCCCTAGAAATCCAATGTAGCTTTGCAGTCCATATCTAGTCACCCTTCCAGGTTTTGCTTTTCTTATTGCATTAACAAAATGTACTATGTTTTTTGTACCTGTTTGGAAGCTTCTCAATGTGCAGCACAGAGGAGTCATGAGCAGTTCTCTGGCAGGCAATCACACGCTTCATTTGAAGATTATATACGTATATGCCTTTCCCAACAGCAGCAAACACACACTGGAAAGAAAATTCAATAGAACAACTTACAGAAACAGATACCGAAGGATCACCTTGCATATAATGGATTTCCAATGATACTATGACCTAGCTTGTTTCTATCCTCATGTTATTGCTTTATCCCAAACATATGAAATTGGCAAATTATAAAAAGAGAAGGATTTTTTAAAAGCAAATTTGGGATATAATCCTATATTCTAAGCAGTAATTTTATATCTGTATTTTTATCCTGTTCTTCAGAGTCTAAGCAGAAACTAAGGATACCAACCAATCAGTACACTTCTGTAATTAAATGCTCATGTTCTTACAGTAAAATAATGTCCGATGTTTTGAAAAGCCCTTCTTTTATCAAGAAAAACTACTATTATTCTTAACTAAAAACAGAGATGGATAAAGAGACCTTGCTCAAGAATTTGAGCTCTACTGAATTCAGAAAAGGAACTCTCTCATAGCAAAGTATTATGCAATACTGCATTTTGCATTCAATGCTCTTCTTCAAAAGATTGCAGGCATTCCACCTCATAACCATCATGATCCTAAGACACCAGAAACAGTTTACAGATCTTTGGACCTGGACCGCTTCATGTCTTTTGATGAACTTACAGAGGACAAGTGTACAATCCTGTGCATGTACACATGATTAGTATGCAGTACCAGAAGAGTGCAAAAGGTTTCCATTCAGTACATATTTGCAGTTTTGAACATGCCTTGTTTAGATGACAGTGTTTAGGAACATTTCCCTGAACAGCCAGTTTCCATTTACACAATCCAAACATTAATATCTGATATACAATTCACACTGCACGTCTGTCAACATTTTGTACAACTTGTAGCCTAGGGTCTTTTGACTAAAATTTCCTGTATACATTCATCAGTGTTTTGACATTGTTCAAAACTCTTTGTTCAGGTTTTTATTCTTTTTTTTCCCCTTATGTGTATCTGTTGTGGGAGTACTGAAGCTGAACAGATTTCTGATACCACCAATAGGAAATCAAGACAAAAACAAACCACTAAGCCCATTATCTTAGCTCTGCATAAGGTTCAAATTCAATGGCTTTCCACATAACTCTTCCAACTTGAGCCATATAATCTTACAGCTTTGCAAAAGATGCTCTTCATGGAGCACTCTTCTTTATTCACAAGCCCTGGCAAAATCCTGGTCATCTCAAAATCCAAGAAAATAAAACATATGAAGCATGAATTGTACAGTTCTATTAATAGGCAAGCTAAATACACATACCAAAACAGCAGATGTACTCCTTAGCACTGTTCCCTAGTTCTGAAAACTTTTATCATCCCATTTTTTTCTGAATCATATTTTGCCTACAAGCCCAGTGTCAAACTAGACAAGTGTATCTTCTCCAACTACTTAACTACTGTCTCTGGAAGACAGAGAAAACATATATTTTACACTATTTTTTAATATGAAAAGCAGTGGTCTGCTTTGAGATAGCACATAACAAAATAATATCTTAGACAAATACATTTCTGCGTCACACTTTAAGCTCCTCAAGGAGCTTTACAATACAGACAGCACTACCTCAAAAGTACCTTTGATTTTGGTATGTAATACTAGAACAACCTTTTCTTCCCATCATTCAAAACTCTCACAATTAAAAAAAAAAAATCACACCTATTTATTTATTTAGTTCAGTCTCATGAATGGAAGACAGGAGCCCCAGATTCCACATTGAATGTTTTGAAACTTCTGTCCTCCCTCAAATTCTTTCCTACTCCCTTAAAACACATCATATGTAGCTTTCAAGCATGGAATCAAAGTGTTCTGAAGCTGAATTACAGGACTTATCCTAAATAAAATTCATTTTTGGCTTATTGTAGAAATAAGCATTGATAACAAAACCACTGTATATGCCACCTTTAAGGGCAGTCACATCTTTTTAGCCCCCCAACTTCCCAAAGTATTTCTCACTCCAGTGTTTTAGGAAAGCTCTATTCAGAAAGAGGCAAATGCATCAGGTGACTGTTTGGTCCTTACCCTCTATTCAGGTTTTTCCACAGCTTTTATGTTTTTACAGCTTATATATCTGAATCCATTTCCATCAATCTCTTTCTTAATCATTCTCAATAATGGACCTACATGCCCCAAACAAAATCCCAGTGTAACTCAACAATGAAAGATCTTTTATTTTGCCACATTTAATTTTGTGAAATGTTGGTAACATTTCACAAAATTAAATATCAACCTGAGTATTTTTAGTGTTTGCTGTATGATAACTGAGTTCTAACTGAGTATTCTGACCAAGAATTTATCACTAAAGCATGACTATAGTAGACAGGATCTTGGAAACATTTGAGTATATAATTCTGGATAGTCCCCATGAACAGAAAGAGCAATACTGATTTACTAGTAAGCATAAACATATGCCTACTCTTAAACAGTACCCCATAGTATTCTCACAGTAACCTCAGCTGTAACTGCTCAAACAGGTGCATTACTGGGAAAACATTATTTCCAGAAGCTGGAATATAAAAGATGATGCCATCAAAACACACACCCATTTTTTACTTTTCTCTAGTGGTATTTCAAACAAGTAATAAATCTTTATTAGTCAAAAAGAAATGCTGCTGTGACAGTCCATTATGTTAGTTTCCATACCATCAACATATTAAACCCTTCATATAGGTCAACAGCAAATCTTTTATATAAAAACTACTGACCATATAAAATAGCTGTGCACATTTAAAAGAAGCCACTCATATCATAACAAGGAAACTGAAAATATAAACCACTCAATCTTCTGTGGTAAGATCATCCTAGCTTACTTAAAGTAATTTACTCTGAAGCTTTTTACCTCCTCATCAGATGTTAAGTGTTGAACTGAAGTTTCATGTGGGCTTTGGGATAACTTTATTTCTGGTTGTACATCTGGATGGACAGAGGAGTCCCAGAAGTTGCACTCAGATGCCAGCTTTGTCCAGTCAAGCGCATCCCAAACTATTAACTCACCTATATGAGAACCTGTCACAAAAGTCAAATCTGAAGGGAAAAAAAAACACACGTAGAAATCACATTATATTAAAAAAAAAGTTTATAAAAAGCTACAACCCTAGAAAGACAGCCCATTTATGTATAAAGCTATGTACAATGTGCAGTGCATAACTGACTGGACAAAAACCTCTCTCTTTGAGTAAATACTCATCTAATTATCTGACATAGCTCAGACAAGTGCTCATGTAAAATCAGAACCAGGAAGAAGAACGTTCACTGGCCACAGTGCACAGCAGAGTGTTGCAAAGGCAAGGAATGCCACCAGAAGTGTGTACAAATATTTGAACTTCATTTCTACATACAAAGCCCTTCTATTCCTTGGGGAAGCATCCCCCAACATCCCCCAGACACAACAAAGTACATCTTTGCCCTAAATAGAAATACTGATCACAAATTAAATGAATGAGTTAATGGCAATATTGAAGTAGCTGCTCATGACTTCGTTTATCACACATGGAAAGGAACTTCTACAACAATATTTAATGCAGGTAGCATCTTGTCTTTTTAAGCCAAACACTGCTCTCCTTTCATAATCAAACAGAAGAAAATAATGGCAACAGTTAGGCTCAGAAACATGTACCATAGAACCCAAGTTTTCTTTTTTCCAGCCTATTGTTGCCTCAGTAATACAGCCTCTTTGTGCCAGCCAGGCAGACACAGCTACAGCCAAGGATAAATAAACACTCTCTATCCCACCAGCAATACCTTCAGCAGAGCAGACAGAATTTCGGGTATTAGTTCAGTATTACCCTAATGAGCAGCATAGATCATATCAGCTTCCAGACCCTCTCTATAGAGGCTCTACATGCAGGCCCACATCTGCATACTCAGAATCTCCAGTTACCTTAGGACTACAGCTGCAAGGGACGTGGCACTGCATATCCCATTTTAAGAATAAGAAGGAACAAGACAAAAAAAGTAGCATTTTTAACTTTCACAATAGAAAGACCAAGAGTTCCATCTCCATCAATGACATTGAGTCTTCTACATTACAACTCACCCGGTTTCATTTCATTGTTAATCCATAAACAAAGAAATTGTATTTTGTCACATCACTACCTTTGCAGCTACACAAAAAGGTACATCCACTAGTTACTAAGTTTCACTCCAGTTAAAACTTTGGTTCAAATAAAAACTCCATGGGTGAAATATCCCACTGGTAACTAACAAAACCAGTAATATTAGAAAATTATTCTTACCATTAACACTGACTAATGATGAAATGTTATCCTGATGGTCAACAAGGCGCTTTACTTCAAGGATATTCCAACCTTCAGACCCATTGTTAGAAGCACTCAGCCTAAAAATTACTTCAAAGATAGAAAAATAAGTTTTTTCATTTGGAATAAGATGGAGCTATGTCTAAATAAAACAACATTTTCAGAGACACAAATTAAACATTGTGAGACCATATAAAAGCCACTTATAATCAAAAAACACGAAGCACTTACTTCAGTGTTACTATTAAGGCCTCACAAATACAGGATAAATACTTCAGCCTAGTAACTCTGATATTCAGACCACTGGTCAACAGCAGAAGTGAAAAGTATCAGACATCTTTATGGATAAGTTACTAAAAGTGAAATATGTTTTCTTGAGGACTCATCTATGTGAAACATTAATATTCAAAAACAATGAATATTAATATCCTCTAGTAAAGCAACGAATATTGTCAGAAATTAAGACTTTATTTAAATCAGTCTTGGAATTTCTTTTCTCTCTCAAGGGTACTATAAAAGCTACTCATTATAGCCTTGGATAGTTAGAGATCATCAATACCTCATACTTCAGATCCCAGGATAAGGAAGCTCTAGAGAATCTGAATATCTGAAAACTCAGGTAAGCAACCCCAGACCTTCTCCAGAAGAACAAATGTCAATCGCCATAATAAGATCTGGACAGGTGGCACTAACACTGAGGGAGCTGACAGAAGAGCTCACCAAGCCAATCTCTATCATTTATCAGTCCTTGTATACCAGGAAGGTCCCAGTCAAATAGAGGTTGGCTAATGTGATACCCATCTACACGACTGGTTGTAGGAGGACTGAGGCAACCACAGGCCTGCCAGCCTAATGCCAGTGCCAGGTAAAGTGATGAAACAAATTATCCTGAGTGTAATCACACAGCACATACAGGACAACCATGGAATCAGGCCCAGACAGCATGGGTTTAAAAAAGGCAGGTCCTGCTTGACCAACATGAGTCAGTGGGTGCCAAGGTGGCCAAGAAGGCCAGTGGCATCCTGGCCTGCATCAGCAACAGTGTGGCCAGCAGGACCAGAGCAGCAACTGTGCCCTTGTACTCCACACTGGTGAGGCCAGAACAGCCACTTGAGGCGACACCTCAAGTTCTGTGCTCAGTTCTGGGTCCCTCATGACAAGAAAGATATTGAGGTGCTGAAGTGTGTCCAAAGAACACCAACAGAGCTGGTGAAGGGTCTGGAGTACAAGTCTTATGAGACGAGAGCTTGGGTTGTTTAGCATGGAGTAAAAGGAGACCTTATCACTTCCTAAAACTACCTGAGAGGAGGTCATGCCAAAGTGGGCATTGGCCTCTTCCCACAGGCCACAAGTCACAGGAGAAAAGGAAGTGGCCTCAAGCTGTTCAAGGGGAGGTTAAGGTTGGACATCAGGAAGAATCTCTCCACTGAAAGGGTAATTAGACATTGGAATGGGTTGCCTAGGGATGGGGAGCAGTCAGCACCCCTGAAGGTGTTCAAGAAATCACTGGATATGGTACTTAGTTCTATGGTAGTTGACACGGTGGTGACTGGTCAAACCTTAGGCTCAATGATCTTGGAGGTCTTTCCCAATCTTAGTGATTCTATAATTCTAAATACAGAAACATTTTGTTTTGTATGCCATGCATATTTCCAAAAATTCTTGAGTAAGATTAGAATAGTCTCCTCTTTGTCAATGGTCAAAGAAAAAACGTTGCTGACTACACCCTAACACCATTTACTTTTCTTATACAACTTCAGCAGAGTGCTCTTCAAACATATCTCTGATAAGCAGCTCTTATGGAGGAGCATGAACACTGGAAAATGCAAGATACTCACTTAGCTCTTTGCCAACTGCTGCTGCAACACAATTTTTGGGCAATTCAACCAAAGCACTGATGCCTTTGAAAAAAGGGGGAAAAGAATATTTATTGATCACAAGAAAGCACAACAAACTGCTAATTCTTTATTAATAAAATTCTTAACAATCTACTTTCCACTAATCAAAACCAAAGTCTATTGACTTAAGTTAAATGGCATCAAAAATGAACAGTTTATCTCAAACAGAGGTAAGATCAGGAGTCTTAGTCTGAATCAAGCAGAATTCTGAACATCAAACTTGTGGTGAAGCTGAAATTAAATGATCTTTTTATTTTAAATACAATTAAGATATTTATTTTCTAATGCTGGACAGTATTAAAAACACCATGACAATTATTGCGGTTATTACTACACAGGCAGTACCAAAATCAGATACTGATACTACCTCAAGTATGCACAATTCTAAAACAACATGCAGAGCAAGAAAAAGAAGAATAAAGCATATGATAAAATGCCCAGCTTGCTATCATCTGTTTTCATCCTGCACAAAATTTCCCCACCCTTTGCCAAAGCACCATTAGAAGAAAATTCCCCAAGGAATAAGCAACCTCTTTCCCCACAAAGGAAGTCAGCGATTAGGACAGAAGAGAGGGCCCATGCCACACATTCTGTTGATTCCTTGTACCTAAGTTTCAAAAACACTCCATACTAAGCACCGCAGTCCAACTGGTATTTAGCATGATATTTCACACTGAACCAAAAGAAGTATTAATACCCTCAAGGATTTAGGAGGCTTCGCCTACCACTACTTTATTCCATGACAAAATTAAGGCCAATATCATTTCCACCTTTGAATGTGATTCACAGCTTTGTAAGCATCTTGGTAAAGTACAGCAATAACATGAAAAATTTTCTCCACATGGACTGCTTTTTATTAACAGAAAAGCATGATTGACAGTGATTTCTGATTATTATATTCTTATCGAAACATGCATTTTCTACTCAAAAGTAGTGATTCTTAACAATAAAAAAGTAACCTTTACTGCTCTGCTATTACAAATTTTCACTCTAGAAATATAATAAAACACCCACTCAATCAGACAAAAAGCCAGTCAAATGATCTGGTACATGTTACAGCAAACACATAAATCAGCATCTGAGCTCTAGCCCTGTAGTCCAAGATAATGTACTGTACTAGTTACTGAGATCTGAGATATTCTAAAATTCACACAGCACAGAACATTAAAAGTGGTCTTAGTTCAGAAACGAGAATTAAATTTGACATTAAAAAAAATAAATACATAATGTTATCATTAGAATTAAAATGAATTTGCCAAGTTGGTTTTGCATCATTATACAGATCAATTTTACTTGCACTTTAACAGCTATAATGAGTAATTTCCATTTTTACCTGCATCAGTAAGATGACTGGTCTTACACAAGAGATCTAATTTTTGGTTCCAAACACATAGATCACTCCCTCCAGACAACCATACATTGAGTCTTTGAAGAACTGTCAAACACTGCAGAACAAAAAACGATATATGTCTCCTGCAAAAGTTCTTCAGGGAATTTTTCAGTGAAATGATCATGAGCTTTAGTTAGATAAATCTGTAAGTACTATGAAATACAGTATCAAGGTCTCTGAGAAATACATATTTAATTACACACTAATATGTTAAATTTTTCATCAACAGTACGAAAACTTTAAATGTTGTAGGCTGCCTTTTCCAACACAGTAATAAAACCAAGTCACACCACTACCTTTGATCTACCTACTCTCAAAAAGAAAACTGAGGTATTAAGAGATCCAAAACAAAATTAAGAATTATGCCCACTTCTCAGCCATTATGCACCAATTCTTAAATAACATAATGTCATTCATTCTAACACACTTGCCCACATGACCCATGATCCAGATATGATAGCTTAATGTATAAAACAAAACAACAGACATTCATAGGGATTCATTCTTCAGTACCTTTACAGTAGAATGGAAACATGACACTTTTTGAACCTGTCTGCCACTAGTGCAGTCCCAAACCTGTCTTTATTCATTAAGGAAACTGAAAGGGTTCTATGTATCATAAATGAAAATGCTGTTTTGGTAACTAAATGACATATTAGGAGAGAGGTATGCAGAGACTCAGTCTCCCAAACCCTGACAGTCTTCTCAATATTCGTCCTAAATTATATATTCATAAAGGCCAAATATTTATATTCATAAAAGGCCTGTTATGGATTCATTTTTTTGTGGCAAGGGATCTATCTACATGTGAACAATAACTAGTGAAACCCCTGTGTAATCCAATTACACCCAGTGGGTATAGGTAGCCTTAAAGTTTTGAGATGGGCTATAGCCTGTGTCAGTGCTATCTTTAGAAGTAAAAGCCACAAAAGGTCCATGGAATTTTAAATTCCCTCCAGATCAAAGGATACAATAACTGTTCTATCAGCTGATGCTGTTATAATCAAATTAGTTTTTTCTTCAGCAACATCTGATGAAGAAAACGGTGCTATAGCTGTAATTTTGTGTGTGTGCCCATGAAGTTCATGAAGTTTTTCTCCAGTCTGAAAAATAAAAATATTGAAAACTAAGGTTAAAATAGGAAAATGCCTACAATAGCAGAAAATATAGGTATTAAATGACTTTTTAAAGCAAGAATTACTATGAGTTTAAAATTTCCCTTTCTAAAGAAATTTAATGATTTTCTACTTACTACCTTCAGTACTGTTCAAGACCTTAAATGAAATAACACACTATGAGTAAAGAAGTAGTACATAACGGAAATTATTCTCTGAGTAAAGAAACTCTAAAAGCCCTTAGGAACACAATTAAAACTCATTTAATTTTAAGGCAAATATTGGCTAATCATCCTTCTTAATAAATCCTACACCAATTCAGATTTGTTGACAAACCCTTAATTGAAAATTTTATTTTTTTTTAATTTTAACTATTGGAAAAACCTGACCTATATTTATGGCCAACCTCCTGCCAGATTTATTTACTATGCACATTGTCTATAGATTCAAGTGGGTGCTTTAGACAACTACAGATACTTCCACTAACATTTTAGTTAAATGCAAAAACCCTACAAACAAACATGCAGAAACAAATCGGCATTTCAAGCATAAAGCTAAAATACAGGGTAATTTTAACTGCAAATTTCTTGAGAGATGTGGATTAATATTTTAAATTAAAAGTGCAAAGATTTGCTTTAACAAACACAATAGAAGTCCTACAGAAATAGAAAATGGAACTCGGTTCATAAAGCTGGATATCCAAATGAGTTTTATGTTTACAAGCTGCTCAGAACACTGGGCATATATATACACACATGGTTTTTAATATTAAAATCCCTTTACTTTTACAAATTATACAATTATAGAATTATAAAAGGTTTTCAAAACCAGCAAAGCACTAGCGGAAACTGCTCAAAAGAAAAGTTTCAAGTCTCTCCTTCTGACCACTATAAATGTCACCGAAATTTTTCAGAAGATTTAAAAGAAAATTTACAGTCTGGAATTTTTTCTTCCTCAATTGAATGACTGATACATTGCAGATCCTTCATACTTCTTACTAAACAATGTAACTCATATACTAGACTTCCTTAACCTAGGTCTAATGTTCATCGGTTCTCTACAGTGTTGTCAATGATACGGAGAAACAGAGCAGTAGAGCAAAACAGCAGGTGTCACACTTACAGAGCACTATTTGTATGATACAACTAATGTCTTATTAAGGTTTTCAAAAGTTGTAAGACCTTTATCACAGCAAGCAATTAAGGGCATGTTCACGCATGGTATGAAATGTTTAATTCCTACTGACTTTGGTACCTTTTAAATACAATTTTGTGATAGCTCTCCATTAATCAGTCATACTAAAGAGGGATTACTAACAGAGTGACTGAAATGTATTTAAATCTTACATGTATATAAAAATCCTGGCAAAGTTGTAATCTTTCTACAAATTTGTTGAGTAACTAGTCAGCATTTCAGCATTTACAGCAAACACAGAACATACTTTCAAAGAGTAACTAAAGTCACAACTTCACACTTCTGCTTTTAAACAGAAAAACATTTTCAAACAGTAGCTCTGCAGCAATTCTTATTTATTCCACTTTTTTTGCTCCTAGACATTTTCACCTCTTCTCTACTTCTACCCTGTCCAGAGCACACAAGCCACCCCTAAAAAAGACAGCTAACCTCAGCATTCCACAGAAATATGATTCCATCATCTCCTGCAGATGCAAACCTGGAAAAAAAACAAACCAAACAAAGAACCATAACAAACTGAAAACTTCATTATAGCATAATGTAATGGAAAAACAGTCAATACTTACAGAACTAAAAATGTTTACACGATATATCAGATTCAGTCTTTAAAGAATAACCATGCATTTTAAGTCCTAATTACAGTTTCAAACTGAAATAGTGTATTTAAATAGGTGATTATCAACATATACCTAATATAAAAACAAGACTTAAGAATTCCAATAGTGTTATAAAATGTCTTCATGGGTCACCTCAGTCTTTTCCAGTCATGATCACCATCATCTATAACCTTATCTGTTTCCTGAAGGAGCAAAGAATGGTCAAATGATAAAAAAAAAAAATCTATTCTTAAAATGTGCTAGGAACTCTGTTTAATTTAATGTGTCAAAGGCTAGAGTATTACTTGCAATTTGATCTCAGTCCAGTTTTTGGAAGACTCTTGCTGAGGCTTAGCCTTCTTTAGCGATCTTCCAATCAATATGAGCCTTACTTCATGTTTAAAAAGTACAAGAACAAAGAAGAAAAAACCCCAAAAAACCAACCAGCTTTCTGTTACATTCATAGAGGATTTATTTAGTATCTTCAAAAACCAATATGAGAAAATTTTCCACTCACTGGTTTTAGCTGAGCCACTGAGAAAACAAGAAAATCCTTCTGTAAAATTCTCACTAAAATGATATTATCTAAAGACCTGAAGCGTGAAGCTTGGCTTACAATAGTTGACAAAAACCACACAATGGAATAGCTGCAGAAACTAAACAAAAACATTTCAGAAGCTTGAGTAACAATACTAGTCTTACGGAAAAGAATCAAGTGAAAAATATTATCATGTGTTTAACAATACAGAAAATACCATATTCTTGATAAACAGAATTTAGAATTACTGCCAGTAACAACTGAAACAACTCTATGAAACTCCTCAAACTCTCAGAATACTAACCAGCTATACAATTCACTCATTATCCATACACTATTTCACAACCTATCTTAAACATCACCACTAAGGCTTTAGTTTTACAATGATTATCATTATTTTAGCTTTAGTAATTTACCTGCCACCAAATAACAAACCCCAAAATGGAAAAAGACTTCTTTTTATAAGACTGCATGTGCAAGCTAAGAATACTGTGGTGTTTCTACAAAGATGAATTACACATATTTGAGAAAAACATACTTTGATAAAAGGTTATTTTACTAAGCTGTCTGGGGAAAAAAAAGACTGAAGAAACCATACAAGATTCTTCCATTTTTATATGAATCTTCTGGTGGACTACTACACAGAAAAATAAATGTTATAAAAATGCATGTAACTTTCCTGACATATATATATATATATAGAGATATATATGAGATATATAACATTTAAAATAAAAAGTGGCAAGCTAAAAATCCTCCATGGAGTCTTGTGTGGAATTTTATTTATGTATATATATAGATATATATAATATTAGAAAATAAGATTCTGTGGGCATTTCTGAACTGGAAGAGACCACTAGCAAGGTCTCTTCCAATCAATGCGCATGGGGAGGAAGAGAATCTTCAGACTCCTCCATCACAAAACACCTATAAGATATAAAACAAACTCTAGGCCATGTTAACTTCATGCAGTGTATTGATGACTATACTAGAATTTCCCTTTTGTATGTCTAATCGGTAAAAGATATAAATTACTACATCTCCTTAACAGAACTAATCTTGCCTATTACTTATGTTCTTAGACACTAACATTTTCTATTTAATTCTCCACATCAGTCAAGAGTCCTATATTTAATGACTGAATAAAGACTCTACAACCTTACTTTTAAAGCAGAAAATTATTCCCTCTCTCATAGAATTATGTTAAATTAAAGAACATGCAAGGTAAATTTAGATAAAACTAGAACAGAAACTAGTTTGTAATGTACAACTATCATAATTCATTCTCTCAGTCACACTTCCTAAGTGACAAAGGTAAACACAATTATTTCATCTTCTTAACCAGTTTTCCAGCTTTTAGATAACTCTGTCCTCAGAAGACAGATAACTCAGTCTTCAGAAGTTACAGATAGAAATTGTTATGAAATATACAGAAAGGTGCATATAGCTGAAACCTGAAGGAGAGAAACAAACGAAGTATCAGTTTCAAAGAAGTATACCAAGTTGAACCAGACCAAACTGGAAGAGACATGTAACGCAGGCATACAGTGACTTTTGAAACTAAGCAAACTAAGCAGTCATTCTGAATAAAGCAGCTAAAACTTAAAGTCTTGCAAAGCTAAAAAAATTGCATTAACCAAAGCTCAAGTGAATTTAGCACTATAGCACCAAAAGAAGTGCAACAAAAGATCAGAAAGAAAGGAAAAGCAACACCCATTGTTGAAGATGTCATGTCCAATTCTACAGCACATCTGTAGGAGTCTATTACACTCTTTCGTAGAACCACAAGGTAAAACAACAGCTATCCTCAATTCAGAAACACAGGACACATGCATCCTGTGAGAACAGCAGCAGACCGCATATTGTCCTGTAAGAATCTACGCATGTACAGAAGGCAGCACTCAGACCAGGAATAAACTGAAAAAGAACAGATGAATTAGCTAAAGGCAATTCTTACAACAAATGAAACTGTACTGAGAAATGTAACATAACGACCATTATTTTCTCATTAAAGTAAGACTTAAAAGAGAAGCCAAAAGATACAGTAACATAGCAAGAAAAGGAAGTATTCATCCCTTGACTTAACACCAGTTTTTCCAGCTCTCACCCCCAAAAGTAAAAACACAGGATTAAAATGTTACTACATTTTTACAAACATATTGCCAAGGACACTGTGAAACAACTTGAAATGGCATTTCATACCTGCAATCATCTATTTGCACTAGAAATCGTACTATATCTTGATGACCTTTCAACACAAGGAGCTCCGTGTAAGGATTCTGTATTTGTTCTTCACCAATTGTCTGTACAGAGGATTTCTAAAATTCATAAAAAAGGAAGTAAATTTATTTTGTACTAACATAATTATTTTCATCAGGTCTTTGTGATGTCTAACAGTCTACATACAGACCCATGTGCAAAGTTTCTGAAATACCATTTTGCCTTAACGAAAATCATAATAAAATATAATTTCCTGTTATTTCATATAAATAATAGCTTTCTATAGACTGTATTTTAAATTACGATATAGCATTTTCTTCTCAACAAAAACATTTTGTACCGATTTAATCACTGATACAGTGAGATGAAACCCAGCTCAATTATAAGCTGTCGTGTGAAGCCAGCTTCATGACTCAATTCACTATACATTCAGTTTTTCATTAAATTACACCTCTTACGAGATGGCTGTGAACCTCTCATATCTTTCATCTACTGTTCAATGTCAAAATCTTATATAAAGACAACATATTTAAACCAAACAAGAACAAATACTGTTCTGTTGCATAATATGTAAATCACCCACTGGTACTCTATTCACAAAATACCACAACAAACTGCTTAAAAAATATAGAGAATGATTAATCATTTTATAGAACAGCATCTGCAATTACCCCCAACTAGACTATTAATTAAAAGAACAATCAATCACTTGGAGCAAGGTGATCACTAGGCAGGGTCAATAAAATACTGCATACAGCTGCATTTTTAAGGCAGAATAGTTCTGCCAATTTCAATCATCATTTTATTTCAAGACAACCTTTTTGTAATTAAGATCTTAAACATTCTGAAACAACTTGCCAGACTTTTTTTTTAACCATCTAAACAGTGACATCACTCTCTCCCTTCTAGATTTATTTTACACAACAGTCAACAACACACTATTTCCAAGATTGTCCTTTCTTTGAGAATTTCAACAGAATGTACATTGTAAAAACAGCAACTACAGAATACTGTGCAACATCCATCACATGACAGGTAACACCACATGAAAGACAAATTTGTCATCCTCAGAAACTTGAACTTTTTCTTGCAGGATTAATAAATTATTTTCTATTACTTTGATATTGGTACTATGATATTATTCCTTGGGAATTAATAATGACATAGTTAATAAATATGGATGGAAACAAACCTGTTGTTATTTTAAAAGTGAAGAGTTCTTAATTTTAAATGAAGCCCTTGTGATTTTATATTGCTTTTGTGCTACCTGATGCAATTCACGAAGCAACTGTTCCTCATTTTGTTCAATCACATGAGAACAGCAGTTCCCCTTTAAAATAATGCAAGTAGAATCTGCATGGCTGTAATAACAAATTAAATAACTTGGAGTTCATCCATTATAAGCTAATCAAAACACTCCTTTTAAAAAATTAGAGTTCTAAAAATCCCAAGGAAATCTCAGCATACCAATACTACAGTCAGAAAACAAACATTCAGGAAACAATTTTAACACCATTCTGAAAAACTCCGAATTGGTATCATTAACATCCCAATTGTACAGTCTGATGTTGCTTCCTATTCAATACAAGATGGTGTTATTTCTTTTGAACAATATGTCTGATCTTAATTCTAACAATGCCTGTGAATACTGAAAATTACAGGGCTGACAAGGCACTTATATATGAGAACAAAATAACATCTTTTTCCCCAGAAATGTCATACAACAAGTTATGCTCTCTTCAGATATTCATTAATATTTACCCAAGTGTTGGGTTACATTAATGTTCTTTCTCTGAAGAAATCTATTTTTTATACAAACTACTAACTGGACTCTCCTGTACCAACACCAAATTTCTGGAGGTAAAATCTGGACACTGATGTTAATGGAATCTATTCCCAACATGGATACTTTTATGCAGGACTTGCAAGTAACATTACAGTAATCAGGAAAAAAAAAATTCATGTCAACCTCAAAACTTCCCAAGATGTGAAGCATTTAAAAAGTAGGATTTTCAAAAGCTATTCATGAAAAACACAGATATGAGAGCACACAGGAATACTGATCTATGGATCATGGAGCATGACAGATCAGCTCCTATAGACCACGATGCTCCTGCACTGAAGTGCTCCCACCACCAGAGCCACCATGACTGAGATAACACCATGGCTGGCCACCAACTGAAGAGATTCTGATTCCACAGTTAAAAAAAAAAATAAAGAAACAAGTAAGGAGAAATTTCCATCTCACAAACTTAGGACAGCTTTGCCAGAGGCTTCCTCTATTCACCCAGTGCAATGCCACTCTAACACACCTGCCTGAAGTCACAGCACAGGAAACAAGCACTGTAAGTCCATAGCCCACACACTGCTGTGGGCTTTCCTACCTATTGAAGAACTAATGGTGATGAAGATTATTAAATGAAACAATATTACACCATGCAGGAGGGGGAAAGTCTAGGGACTAACCCTCAGGAATACTTGTTCTTCAGATTTTCAGCTGAGAAGCAAAATTAGTACTATTGTTCCACAACTCTGTGAGAGTAAAACAATGAGAACAAAAGTCCTGTGGATTGGATTTAACTGAAGCATTAATGGCAGAATGGAAGAAGTGGGCCACACCTTGATTTATGCTCATGCTTTATTAAATCACAGGATATAAACCAAAGCTGAAGTCAAACTTTGAGGGACACACAATAATGCGGTTTTCTAGCGCATCTTAGAAAACTGCATCGTATTTCCTATCCTCCTTCTAAAAACAACTGCACACAAACCTGCAAATGTGACTGCATCCAACTGGCATTTTGACTGATGACAAAAGTCAGAGGTATTTCCACACATCATCATTCCAACCTGGTGCAGACCCAAATTAAGTACTGACCTTTAAAGTAAACCATAATATTGGCATAACTTGCTCATGAACAGCAGCTGAAAAATAATTATTTCCTCATACATGCCTAGATTACAAAAGCACTAAGCGCATGGAGCACAGCAATACTTTTAATTAACTCTTGTTAAATCCATGCTGAGAACTACAGCAGACTCAGAGACACGAAAATTCCAGAAATTTCTCCGTCTAATCCAGTAACATCACTCTTAATCTGAGCAGCAGCAAGGATGTCACTGTAGAGTACACTCCACAACAAGGCATATTTCATGGATGAGGTACTAAGAAGAAATGCTGATAAACTACTACAAACTACTGTGACACATAAATAACAACTTACTGCCTATAACTTACATTATCGACCTCAGAGTCCTGAAAGCAGAACTTGCAAGAACTGCATGAGAGCTACATACCATAACTCCCGCAAAGAAGGAGCTTAGCTCGGTCGTTCTGCTGTTCACAGAATCAATTAGGTTTGAAAAGACGCCTGAGAACGAGCCCAGCCTATGATAAACACCACCTTGTCAATTAGACCACGGCACTAAGTGCCAAGTCCAGTCCTTAAACACTTCGAAGGATGGCGATCCCACTACCTCCCTGAGCACTCCACTCCAATATCCAATCACTCCTTCTGTGAAGAAATTGTTTCTGATGCTCAGCCTGAATCTCCCCTGGCGCGGTTTGAGACTGTGGCCTCATCCTGTCACTGGTTGCTTGGGACGAGACACCAACCCCCAGGGCTACTCCCTCTTTTCAGGTAGTTGGAGAGAGGGACAATATCTCTCCTGAGCCTCCCTGTTCCCAGTATAAAACCAACCGAGCTCCCTCAACTACTCCACACAGGACTTGTGGTCCAAACCCGGCACCATCTCTGTTCCCCTTCTCCCGACACGTTCCAGCACCTCAATGTCCTCCTTGAACTCAAGTGCCCAAACCTAGACGAAAGCCTTGAGGTTCGTCTCTGTGCTTTCCCAGCTCCCCTGCTTCTCTTCGAGGACACCCGCAATCCGTTCTGTCAGTCCGACTGCCTCGCAGGCCGAGACTCGGCCCGGAGCACGGCGCATCCCGGGGCCAAGACCCACCCAGCGGGAAAGGCCACGGCCCAGCGCATCCCGACCTCACGGCACCACCAGCCCCAAGCGCAGGGCTCCGCAGAGAGCCGTCTCACCTCGGCCAAGCCCTGCGGCTCCCGGCCGCCGCCGATCAGCCAGCGCAGCATGGAGAGCGGGCGCGGGGCCGGTGCGGGCCCTCCTGCGGCACCCCCGGGGCGGCACCTGACGGACAGGCTGCTCAATCGAGCTCCGCGCGGACACCCGCCCGCCGGCGGGCGGGGCCGGGCGCGGCCGGAGCAGTCGATGGCCGAGCGTATGCGCCGTGAGGGTCGTGCCGGTGTTACTGCGCGGCCTCGTACGGCGGGCAAGTGAAATATTTACTGGCCTTTTACCTCGCTGTCTTCCGACTGTGAGAGAAGATTTATGCTATTACCTTTTGCCATATTACCATATTGCGTATTACCACATTACGGTTATTACAGTTATTGCCATTTTGTTGTGACGGTCGTCAACTATTTCTTGAAGCGGAATGAGCACCAAAATATTTTCTAAGTGGCAGATTTCCCTTGGCTGGGGCTGTTTCCATCCTCCCTCGCTGGGGTATTTGATGCTTCTGACAGGATGAAGTGACAAACATGGGTGAACTTCCCTGATTCACTGTCCTGCTCCTCTGCTGCCCTTCATGGAGTCCCAGAGCGCCAGGATGGGTTGGGTTGGAAGGGACCAGAGTCAGCCACCGGTCCAAGTTCCGTGCTCAAGAGGGTCATCCCAGAGCACACGGCACAGGATTGTGTCCGGACAGCTATTGACTATCCCCAGGGAGGGAGACTCCACTGGGGATACTGGAGACCGTCACTGGGCAGTCTGTTCCAGTGCTCAGTCACTGCACAGTCAAGGAGTTCCTCATGTCCAGGTGGAACTCCCTGTGCATCCGTATCTGCCCACTGCCTCATGTTCTGCTGCTTTGCACCTCTAGGAAGAGCTTGGATCCATCTCCTTCACACTCTTTAGACAGCTATAGACGTTGATGAGGTGATGCATTAATCTTGGAAGCCTTTTGAGTTTTAGATGAATGTGCGGCAAGATCACAAAACCCCTTCCAAAAGGCCACACAAACCCTGTTCTTGAGCAGACGCAAGAAACCATGGAGGTATACAGATGTGTCCAACAGGCACCGCCCTGAGCGTCTGAATATACACAGGTCACTTGCCCTGGTGGCTTTTTGCCAACATTTCTTCACATAACTCCAGACAGTGCCTGAGATTTCCCATAGGGAAGGAGATTATGGTGCTTTTCTAAATCACAGAATCATTGAGTGGTTTGGGTTGGAAGGGACCTTGGGGTTCATCTAGTTCCAACTTCTCTACCATGGGCAGGACCATCTTCCAGCAGACCAGGTTGCTCAAATCCCCTTCCAGCCTGGCCTTGAACACTGCCAGGGTGGGGCATCCACAACTTCTCTGGGCAACCTGTGTTGTGGCAACCTCACAGTAAAGAATTTCTTCCTAATACCCAATCTAAATCTACCCTCTTTCAATTCAAAGGCATTCCCCTCTGGTCCTGTCACTTCATGCCCTTATAAAAAGATCCTCTCCATGTTTCTTGTGGGCTCCCTTTAGGAACTAGAAGGCCACCAGAGGGTTGACTCATAGCTTTCTCTTCTCCAGGCTCAACAATCTCAATATTTTCAGCCTTTCTTCACAGGAGAGATGTTCCACCCCTCCTGAACATCTGCTATTGACCAGTCTTTGTGTATAAAGCATGGGATGCGAGGATGAAATGATACAGAAGTAACATAAGTTCAACAAATTTTTGTGGCGTGTAACCTGAGTTTTGCCATTTGTTAACTGCTGTGAACTCCTTGCAGCTTTGTAACCAGCTGAAGTTGTTAACAGTCATAAACCACTCTTAAGGCAGTTGTTTAGCAAACAAACTTTAGCAGACTTCTGCTTTTTCATTTCAGTTCAGTCATGCTGACTTCCATCTTAGAGATGCAGTTCCTGCAGGCTAAGGGCACAGCCAGTGAAATTACTTGGTGCATGTGGATACACCTGCCAGGGTTTCCATGGCAATCAGCAGTTTTGTCATCAGCAATCTGGTCCCTGGCAGTGTCCCTAAATAATTTGGTATATTCTCCAAACTGGCAAGTGTTGAGTCATTTTGTTACATTTTATTTATTGGAAGGAACGACTGCACAGCATGACACTATTTACAGTTTTATGATCTATATGACCGCTGAGGTGAACTGACCACAACCTCCTTCCACCATCCCCCCGTGCATCTGCAGGAGGAAGACAATTTTTGAGTAAAATTCAGCCCAGAAAGAAGGAAGACACGGAGAGAAGGTGTTGTAACATGTTTTCCCTTACTTCTGATTATCCTACTTACTCTGATTTGATTGACGAGAAATTAAATTGAATTTTTCCCAAGTCGAGTCTGTTTGCTCTTGATGGTGTATGGTGGCTGATGTCTCCACGTCCTTATCCTGACCCATGAGACTTTTGTCGTACTTTCTCTCCCCTGTCCAGCTGAGAAGGGGAGTGATAAAGCAGCTTGATGGGCACCTGGCATCCAGCCAGGGTCAACCCACTGCAGATGGACTTCAGGAGAGTGCTTTTTGTCTCTTTAATTAGAAATTACTTCAGAATTCTGCTTCTGAGCATCTTTTTATTCTTTACTTAGACTAACAATGCTGTCTGCTTCCAGAATTTTTCTCCATTTTCTCTTTCTCTGCCTTTGTATGTTGTATAAATTTCTGTACAGTTATTTTCTGAATTCTTCTTGCAATCTTAAAAAAACAGTTTTGTTGTAATCATTTCAAGCTTTTGATGTATTGTACACTTCCAGGAAGAGGAAGCAACTTCTCAGTTTCCCAGTGTGGTTGGTACAGGTGCTGTGTTTGTTGTGGTGCCTAGGTAAAAAGTGCAGTTGATCACAGCATTGCATTTGCTAGGCCAAGATGCAGTGTTTTCTGCAATTTATGGCTTGTTGCTCTCAACCATTGGCAAAGGATTGTGCTCAGACTCTTAACTATGCAAAAATGATGGAGTGTTGGAGGATAACACTCACTGCAGGAAACGTGCAGCGCATGTTGTGATTACAAGAGTACGCTTTCCACCAATGTGACATTTCTTGTCCCCAGGCCTTAGTATCTGAATAGAGGAATACTTTTTCTTCCCACCTTCTAGTACAATGGCTTCCCTTTTTACTTGCTCCAGTGGCCTCTGCAGTAGTGACTAGGCATAGAAAGTGTAACTAGGTTATCTCTTGCTCAGTTAACTAACATTTCCAGTATGTCACATTATTTGTATATGTCTTTTTTGTATGACATATACATTATTTGTATATGTCATCTTATTTGTATATGTCACATTTGTATATACTGAAGCCTATTACAGTTTCCTCAAGTTACACAGTTCAAATTTTTCTGTAGATTTTATTCATTGAATAAAGTTCCTTGGAACAGGTGAACAATTTACAGTCAGCCTTACTGTAAGAATTATTTGGAGGGATTTTTACAAAGGAAGTACTAGAAAACATTGTTTTAAAGGTGAGTTCTTTAAATCAGACCATATAGCTTTGAGATATAATTGTGATTCAAAATTCATGCCTAATCCACCCAGTATGTTCCTTTATGTCTAATAAATAGATCAGTTGAAAAGTGCATGCAAGGATTTCACACCCTGTCAAGATCAAATACAGTCAAAGCACTTTACATATTAAAGAAACAGAGTTAGAAGCAGCCAACAGATGCTGTTTCAATGGGCAGCATATGCTACAGTCCTCCACAACCAGTATATATGTCTTAAAAGTCCATGCTGCTGTTCCTTGTGTTCAATGGTGGTTAAATACACCCCCTCAGGAAATGGCTAACTTTACAGTCCCAGCTCAGGTGAGAGTTCAGAGATCTGGTATTCTTACAGAGAAATTATCCATTTCAATTCTGCACTCCCTGTTGGAAGTGCACAGATTAGCATCATTTGCATTCTTCTGGTACTTAAGGCCGTGCTGTCTAACCAGTTCACTTTGTGACTGAAGGTGATCAAAAGTGCTGAGAAAACATGGACCTTGTGGCTCCTGCCAGTTCAAGGGCACAAGTCAGTGTGCCACCAGAGCACCCTCATGGCATTCCTTGCAGGATTCAGTCCATTTTGTCACATGACCACCCATCTTCCAACTAATCACCAGCATTTAGAGGTTTAGGAGAAGGGTAGGAGATCAACCAGCAATACCACCTGAACACATTGAGTTCCTCCTCTTGGCTGAATCCCAGTTGCACAAGACCTGGCCTAGGGACATTAGATTGATTTAGGTGAGCCTGAATCTAAACTCCAGGAACTTATGAGGGAATGGAATTTCAACCACGGGTGGTAATTAACTTGACCCCATTTATCCTAAGGGGATCTCTGCAGCTCCAGCAATGGTGTTATGTCTGAGAGAAATGTTGTACCTTGACAAAAGATTCAACTGCTTCCATCATGAAATTCTGGAGCTGCTCACAGGCCAAATAAATATATGGGTTCAGATTCATAGATTAAAATAAATAGTTTTGTATTTTTCTAGATTTTTGTAGCTGCAAGAAAAGGCTTTGTCACACCTTCTAGTCAATGGCTTCAGCTACTCTTGAAGCTACAGTAGAAATTCACATGTTGCCCAATTATATGGGATCACCCTTGTATGGTGTCTTTTGTCTCCATTGATCAAATGACCCATGATGGGTCAATGACCCTAACACAAGTAACCCAGCCTCTAAATATAGGCATCCTTCACAGTCCACAGGGACACTCAAGTTCCCAGATGCTTGACCCTAGAGCAGCTCACTAGATGGAAGGAGGAATCAACAGCTACCTGAGTGCTTCAGAGTCTTAGGACTGTGATGGAGCTCATCATGCAAGCCAAGTTGTGCAGTGCTCCTATCCACCCCTTCATGGAGAATTTCAGCAGACTGGAGAGAACTGAGGAAGGGTATCATGCTGCTCCTGGCCAAGGGAAAACTAAATGGTGACTTGATTAAATTATTAAGAAAATCTCCTATCTCCCCTTGGCCTTAGATTTAACATTTCAATGTGTGAAATACGTATTTATTTCTCCTGTCTGGCGAGATTGAGAAAAGTTCACCAAAAGTGCAGATGAATACTAGTAGTGTGGGGATGCTATCCTAGCTACATACTAACAACCTTCATTTGTGTTAAGTTGTAATTTCTGACAAAGATCCTTATCA